GCTAATTATATTTATTGAAGTTTATAGCTAGGTACAGTTTTTAAAGTTAAAAAGTTACGGGCAAATTCCGAAACTATAAAAATATTCAATCGATACCCTTAAAAAATGGAGCGGTAAGGCGTGTAGTGAGGCGTCAGGTGGACCCGTTCCCACGCGATAATTCTGGCCGGGAAAACAGATATGGCCACTGGGAAAGCCGGGGTCATTTACAAGCCATTTTCAAGGTGATTGGTGGGCATTAAAAAACTGTAAAAAAATTCGACGATTACAAAAGCTTGGAATTTAGGGGAGTCGGTCCGGCGGCTTTGACGCCAATTCTTCGAAAATTTGTATCGAGGGAAAGTTCCAAAACGCCAGAAAACAAGATTAAGGTAAAACTGCAAGACAGAATTTCATAAAGTACGAAACATTTCGAATTTAGGTGAACAACGATTGTGTCGCAACTTACAAAAGCTCTTCAAAAAAACCTGTATTCAGTTAATTTATTTAGGTCGGCATCAATAACAACAATATCGACGCCGGCGTTTCAAAAACATACCAACTGGAAAAACGGAGCGGCGAAATGCCGAATAACACCTCGCATAAAAGCAACACGATGGCACAATTTTGCCCAGAAACAAGAATCAGCGCTCGGCATTTCCACCCAATCGATGGGTCTTTGATCGATAGAAAATTGAATGCGTAATTCTTTGAAAAAGCGCTGACAGGCAAGAAATCTAGTTATTTCGTCTAATTACACAGTCGGCCAAATTATAGCCTTAAAAAGCAAAAGCGAGGCGGACAAGCAAAATGACCAGAAAGTCAGCCAGGCGGAAGTGATGGTTTTTTTTTTGAGGGATATTTCTGATTTCTTAAGAGCTTTGTTAAAACACGGAATCTGAAATAATCTGTGTGGCCTGTGCCTTTAAAAACGCCTAAAAAATTTCGCCGCGCCGCGACACGCAACGCGCTTGTAGAGTGGCCGTAAAAAAACTGGCAGGTAGAATCAATTACCTCATGAAAATACGACCCTGCGTTGCGTATGCGCAGCAAAAAAGTCCTTAATCCTTAGCCAACAAAATCCATAGAATCACCCCTTGTCAGCGCCTTTAAATCACAAGCAGTCTGCTAGATGCCCGTTCCTTTAATGAGAAATCCAAAGTAGTAAAAGAAGTTTCGTTAGCGGCATTATCTCATCGTTGAAAAAAGAGAAAAGCGAACAAGTTGGAAAAGCAGAAAGCAAAAAGCTCAGCACCCGGAGGAATCGAACCCGGGTCATTCGCCCGGGGACCTAGAGCACTACCATTTAGCGATGAGGTATATAGAGGATTGGTAAGGTAGTTGTTAAAAGGAAAAATAAGTTTGCTTCGATAAATATGATGAGTGGAGCCAAAAGTTCAGGCTCCGCGCTGAGAGAGAGCGGCCGAGCGATCGATAGAAGCCGCGCGGTGAGCCAATCAACGGTCAAATCTAGAGGAAGAGAGAGAGAGAGAGAGCGAGAGAGAGCGAGAGAGAGAGGCGAGAGAGACAGTCGCATTTCATCGTATCGTCCCGTTTCGGGCTGAGAAACTGGCTCTCCTCCACCTTTTGGGGGAGAAGAGGCTGGTAGATGGCATTGGAATGAATGGTGAAGGGGGCTGGTTGAGGGGAGGCAAAGAGAAGATTGATAACGAAAAGATAAGAGAAAATGGAGACCTCGGCGGGCTCGATGTCACACTACGAGACGCGCCTTTCAACGCATTCGAGGGGGACGGTAGAGATCTGGCCGCCGAATGACCCCGGTATTTTTTTTTGGGGGTGGGGTTTGAAGGTGTTAGAAAATGCGGTACTGGATTATTAGCGGGGGGTGGGTGGCGAGCCTTGCTAGGGTGGTAGCCTAACTTCCGCCTATCGAATGATCAAATAATGAAATACGCACGATTTTCATGGCTTTTTACAGTTTTCAAGTTTTCTATAAAATCCGCAAAATATTGCTTAAATTTACTATAAATTCTTGAAGACTTTTTAGCACTCAAAAACTACTGAAAACACTTTAAAAATACGTTCAAACATTTGTTAGGTAGGCATAGGCTACCTCCCCCGCTAACAGTCCAGCTCCGAAAACTTTAAAAACTCGCTGTCATCATCCCTTTAAAATTGGGAACACCAAAAAAAGAAAAAACGGGATAGGGGAGGTGCTTCGGAATTGAATATTCAGTTTTCACCGTGGGCGCACATGGTAAGAAAATGAGAAAATAGAAGAGAGAGAGAGAGAGAGAGAGAGAGAGAGAGAGAGAGAACGAGCACGAGCCCATTCCAAGAACCCCGAACGTCACAATCCGGCACAACATTCGGAAAAGGGCAACCTCCTTCTTCCTCTTCTTTTCGCAGCCATTTTCACGCGAGAAAAGAGGGCCCAAAAGTGGGCTGGTCGGCCCCCGATCGATAAATAGGGAGAAGAGGGCTCGAAAAAGGGCTGGAGAGAACGGCGGATGGCGAGAGAAAAAAGGCGACGACGGGAAGGAGGGCAAAAAAGAGCTGGCGGGGGAGAGAATCGCTCTGTTTCTCTGGCAGCCATCTCACTCTCTCGCCCGCGCTAACCGACCCTTGGCCGAGTGAACACGAGGAAAAGGGCGGAAGGCCCCCTCCTCTCACTCTGAACGGGGGGCCAGCAAACAACATTCTGCTACCAGGCCGCCCTCGGGAATTCCCGAACTTTCAGGGGGGCATCACGGCGGAAGTTCAAAGAAATTTTTAAGCACAAAACAGCCACAATTTTTAACGGTACAAATAGAATAGCGGGGGGGGGATAAGTAGCCGGGTTTTTCAATTATCGCGTAATTTAGCGAGCGCCAGTCGATAGATCGTCAAAAAAATATACAAAACTGGTCGAAAACTACAGGCAATTTTCGTGCTTTTGAGAATTTCATTCTTTACAGGGCAAAACCTATGAAGGTCTTTTTATATTAAACCCGCAAAACCGTATTTAAAACTAGTTTTATCACATAAACATTTAATCTGAATTTACCATTTGGAAAAACGAACATTTATCGCGGTATGGGGGTCGAACCAAGCTCAAGTGCCTGAAAAAACACTCCTCGAAAAAAAACAGCGCAACCATCAGCTAGGCATGGTGAAATCGCCAAAAACAACACGAGATAGCGCCAGTATTTATTCACGGTAAAGCCAAGAAATCGGTCGACTACTAATCCACATTAAAAATCAAATCAAAATTTCACGAGAAAAAGCTATGCGGGGCGATTAAGAGGGAGGCGAGTATTGTTGTTGGTTGTGTTGTCTTCTTCTTCTTCTTCTGTACACATCAGTTCTTCTTGATCATCACATCGTCTTGTCGAGTGGAAGGGGCGGCTCTTCGATTTGGGTCTTTTGCACGGATGGTTCGCGGCGCAGCATTTGTTTGGCACGGATCGCTTCTTGCTGCAAAAGAATGGAAGTTTTTCCCGAAACTGACAAAACCGTTTTTCTTAGGATCTAATTTTCAAATTTCGAAAGTGGAACTGTTTCTAAATAGCCTTCTACTATTCCTAAAGGCAAAAAATTTAACAATTTTGTTAAAAAAACGCAAAAAAATATAGATTTTCCGACGAAAAGTGGCCAAATTCTATTACCAAAATGTCCCTTTTTCAAAATTTTGTAAAACATTTAGATAGTTTCTCTAATTGGAATATGGTGATTTCGCCGAACAACTATTAAAACACATCTTATCAAGTTACTAGATATACTTATCAAAAATAGACTTATTAAAAAAAGTTCACCGCCCCGCCCGATAATGCCGAAGAACCAAATAACGTTAGATAAACGCACCTGTGTTTTGGCCTGTTCGGTTGGTGAGAATGGTTGCGTCTCGGCGAGTGAATTCTTGTCCATGGCCGTCGTCAGATCAATCTCCAGCTGTGATTTGGAGGGCGACTTCGGGTTGGGCAGCGCCATCGTCTTCGGGTCGCTCGGCGTCGGGGTGGCCTAGAATGCAAAATTTTACGGTAGATCTCTATCAAAATGGCTATACCTTTTGTTTCTGCTGCTCTTCGGCACGCTGCGCCTCGGCAAACTTGACGGCGTCGCCGATGCTCACAAAGAATTGGGCCTTCGGGACGGACTTATGAAAATCGGCCGCCTCGATGAATTGACGTACGTAGGCTGAAAGAAGAAGCTTGTAATAAGCTTACCAGAAACGCTGAAGGAAGACTTAGATAATCAACCGACCCTTGACATTGGCGAACAGCACCTTGATGCCGATCGTCTGATAGTCGAGATAGGTGTTGAGTAGCGCGTCTTTGCCCATCAAATCCACATAGTTGATGCACGAGCAGTCTGAAGAAAGATCGAAATACGCGGCATTTCCGAGCTATTACCAATGACAATATGGGTGAGGTGGGTCAACGGTGCTTCTCCATCGGAATGACTAAAAATTGTGGTGCTGGTTAGTTAGCGGGGGGGGGGTAGCAAAACTTTTCTTATGTTTCCGTAGGTGCCCTATGATAAAATCGCGATATACGGCCTTTTTCGATATAAAAACCAATAAAAATCTCCCTTTCGAAAACAATGAATTTTCAAAAATGGATTAAAAATGGTAAACTTTTGAACTTTATACATCTGTAGCAATCAAAACTACAACAACCGTTAGATTAATAATTTGTGGGAGGATCGTGCTCGGGAAATCACCCCCGCAAGCGAACCAGAACCCAAATGAGCCTTAGAAACGGGGCAGAATCACCGCACTTCTCCTCGACATGCCTCGGTCCGGGCGGGCTCTCCTTCTTTTCCAGCTTCTCCGGTTTGCCCTCATCAAGGAGCTCGAGTTCTGATCGATAGATTCGTCACATTTAGCCAAAGATTCCTACTGCTTTGTTGTTTGACAGCCGCCGCTACGAGGGGGACACGTTCCGGGTGCTGCGCATCTTTGCTTGAACGCCGATTCCAGAAGCCGTGCTTTTCCTTCTTCCGCTCGAGTTCTTCGCATTGCGAACGCAGCTAAAAGCTACTTATCGAAAACAGCTAATCAGATGAATACCAATATAGGGTCTATGCGTGTCTCGTGGTGGAGCTTGTCGGTGAACGTCTCGACGTTGGCGAAGTAGAGCGGGGCGTCAAAACGGAAGATGATGATGCCTTCGACGTCGAGGACGAGCTTGTAGTGGTAGAGGCCCTTGTATTCAGCCGAAGTGCCCGGGACACGGCCCATACATGTGCTCTCAGGCCTAAAAGTAGCGATGCAAGGTCAGCTAGAACACCTGGTTCTGAGTCGTTAGCGGGGGGGGTAATAATAAACGCCTCTCTATATCTTTTTTCGGTAAGAGTCGGGGGCCCCCCCAGCCGTACCTTTCCAGCCATACGTCCCTATTAATGCCGAGTGGTCTCTAAATATTCGTGGTCGGAATACTTTTAAAGTTGGTTTCCTTCCTCAAAAATTGTTAGAACAATTTTACAAATATTGGAGTTGAAAAGATTAAGGCTCGCTCCTTTTTTTCAGTCTAAAACTCAAATATTTTTATCGAATTACGTTGAAACAATACCGAAAAAGAGAAAATCAGGGGCAATACCCTCCCCCCGCTAACGAACCAGAACCGCAATCCAACCAACCACTGGCTCCTGAAGATGACAGTGAGCAGGGCAAAAGAGACGCCGACGACCAACCCGGTGGTGACCCCGTAGAAGACGGTGGTGATCACCGTCATAAAGTAGATCAACTACACGAAGCGGCTTGGGTTAACAAATCTTCGGCCGGTCGCTACAAAGTCGGTGGTGCTCAGCCGTAGAATGTGCCACGAGCGGAAGACTTGAAGAAGCAGATCTTTCATCGACATTGCCACGATCACCGCCAAAACTGCCTGAAAAAAAGATTTTAGGGTTGATTGCCCTGAAAAAGCTCCAAAAGTAATATAACGCACTTTCGGTAGATACTCGATGAGTTTGGCCGCCCAGAGGATGACGACAAGAACGATGGCCGCCGTCACGAAAGCCGACATCTGAAAAGGTTGAGCTGAAATTGGAAGGTGCTTTTGCATTAGCGGGGGATTTTCCCTATTAGTGCCAACCGTCCTTTAACTGCTGTTTTGGTGGATAACGATATTTCGAGCGCAAAAAAAACAAGCTTTTTCAATGTTGGTCCAAAAGTCGATATTTTTGTTTTTATACAAAAATTGTAAACAGTTGACGCCTAGAAATAGTAAAAAAAGCCAGAAACCCCTACTCTAACTGTATTTGAAACACGGGATCGTAAGGAACAAGTTGGTCCCCCGATAATGCAAAAGCTCCAACCTGCGAGTGGGTACCCAGATTTGCCAACATCATCGTGCGACCCATCGAAGAGCCACCCGCAAAACATCCGAACGGCGCCGAGACCGTGTGCATCAACCCAAGCGCCAACCACTCCTAAAAAATGAAATCGAGCGCGATAGAAGCAAATCATACCTGATTGGGATTAATTGAGTATTTATGCTGCTTGGAGACGAGTTTGGCCAACGAGATGTGAATGGTGAAGGAGACGATGGCGATGAGAAACGCGTCTGCCCACCAATCCTCGAACCCGCTGAGATCGGGCATTGACGGGCGGACGAAGCCTACGTTGTGCACATCTACATACTATCAAACAATCAATTTACCGTTCGCCACGTAGCCGACTCGATGCAGTTTGATGCCCCAGCTGGGGTGCTGGTGGAAGAAATAATTCAGTGAAGTCGCACCGGATACCTAAACACGTCAGTGGTCAGTGGTGAATTGTAAGGGGGAAACAAGGTGCTTGTGCATTATCGGGGGGAGGAACCAACAAGGATCCAATTTTTCCGATATACCAAAGGGAAAGTTTTCTAAACTGTTTTACGACTCATAGTCGTAAAAATTTTGCAAATTATCATTAAAAACAACAACAAAAAAAGATGGCTTTCCTTGACATACTAGGAATTTCTGGACTTCCAGGAAAAATTTAGCTATTCTGATAAACGAAACGACCAAAACTTACCAGCAATAATTCCATGGGCATCTTGAACGCCTTCCACTTCTTTCGCACCAGCGGATCGATGACGTACGACGAGATGAGCAACAGGGCGATGCATATTGCAGAGCAGATGCACACGGGCAATTCGGCCTGGGTGATGTTGCGGAAAAAGCACACGAGGAACTGGAATCATAGAGGTAAAAACTTTTGCTGATTGAACCAACCTTGGCCAAACCCCAGGGAACTGATTCGGAAGATGGAGGCACGGCCCGGACGCCGGTCATCGACTTCATCTGGCTGATGACGACGTGAATTGCCGCGCCGGTGGTCAATCCAACAACCAAATAGTCCGACAGCCATACAGCCAACACACCCGCATTCATCACGCCGAGGATCAGCTAGAAAATCTTGGGTTAGACGGCGGCGGCGCTGGTTTGTTAGGGTGGGGATTTTTAGCGGATCTTTCGGTGCTACTATTGCCGATTCGAAGTGACAAAAATCAACCTGAAATATGCCAACGAGCAGCGTGATCCCAGCGGCTCGCCAGACCGCCTCGTGCTCATTGATGGCTGGGACCGCGTCCGTGCAGCACAGTACCCCGGCCATCCTGCCCGTCACCTCCGTGGAATTGTTCATCTTCGTTCCCAGAGAAGCGTCTTGTCTGGACACCAGCGTTCCCACCATCAGTGCCACGATCGAGAAAGGACCTGCAAAACAGTGAATTTGCAAGGGTCTAGTCAGTAGTTACCGCGCCCTAATCCATTCATAAAAAAACTCAGGATTTGTTAGGAATTGTTCGGGAAACAACGTAGATCGAAACCTGGTCATTTTGCGTCCAAAAGAATCAATTTCTGGATCTAATATTAGATGTTTAATCAAAATTTATTGTTTCTAGATTCAGGAATGGTAAAAAACAATGTATAATTATCCGCTTTATAGAAAAAACAGGCTCACGCTAAAAAAAATTTGCCCCTCCAGATCGTAAATTGCTTGATGGCATCACTCACCGGATGCGGTGTGCTTGGAGCTGCCAAATATGGCGTAGAAGAGCGAGCAGAACAGTTGGGTAAACAGGCCATAGACCGGGGGCACGCCGACGAGCATCGCGTACGCCAGATCTTGCGGCACGCCCATGATCGCCACCATCAGCCCGCCGAACATGTCGCCCATCAGATGACCGCTCCATTGATAAGATGGCAGCCAACTGAAAGCATAAAGCTGGTCAAGCCGAAAGAAGCAGGCAACGAAGGAAGTGGCGGGTAATCCTGGAAAAACTGGGGCAAACTTACTGTAGTATCGGCATCCGCTTGCAAACCCAGTGCCACCACTCCTTGCCTGACTGATGCCGATAGCGCTTGAATTGGCCGTAGACTTGGCGGGCCAGTGTAAAGTTGCATCGCCGGAATTGGTGCTTCTTGTCAAATTCCTCCTAAAAAGAGCGTAACTTCCGAAACAGCCACAAGCACCTGATTCAACACTTTCTCCTGGCGGCTAACTGTGGGCTGCTTCGGGTTGCCGACTTCGGTGGGCACATTCACAGTGTACTTCATTAAATGCTCGAGGTTGATCTGCGCCCGGTCGAGCGGATTGTCTTTCGGCTGCTGATCTGAAGGTTCAGCGCTGACATAAAACACTCAAGAAAGGGCTTACCATTCGGCGGCGGTTCTTCATCGGCGCGCATGTAGACAAGTGGATCGTGGGACCAACCGCCGCCCCGAGTGAATAAGTCCGCTTCACACAAAAGGGAAATTCGCTATTCTGACATGCTAATCGCGGACGCAATTATTGTGTGTAAATGCCAGTCAGGACAAGTAAATGCATTTATCGACGAATTGACAATCACTAAAGTGCGGATCAGTATGAACGATAGTATCAACAATATACAAACGACTAACAAAATCAATGGTTGCAATAAGTCGTGGGCGTCAATAAGCGGGAAGCCAATATGAACAGCATAGCAAGCGAGGTGAGATTCTGTTCAGTTGGCATTTTTGCGAGGACGTCCTCGGCGGCGCGGGGCGACGGCCGGTACGATGACTGGCAGTGGTTGGGGCTGAAAAGCAGTATTAAATTCGGCGACTCGGATCGGAAGCAAACACACAAGCCAAAAAAGTTACCGAAATACGAGGTCTCAGCACGCGGCGGGTATGCGGCACCACCCAGTCTGCCTCGTCTACGTTGTGGTACAAATCGAAAACTCAAAAGAACCTCCAGAATCCGACGGCGCCGCCAAAACATTGGGTACCGTAGCTGGGGCCATGAAATCGATGGTCAAATCTTCAAAGTCATCCACGACCTCTTGTTTCACCTGGATCTCGCGTTCAGCCCGCAGCAGCGTGTCCACTGGAAAAAAAACAAAGTTATTGCAAAAAAAAACACAGCTTACAGTCGGGAACTCTATTGCGCGACGTGCTAGCGTAGCTCTGAGGAAGTTGATCATCGTCGTCGAAATCATCGTCCATTTCTTCGATGAAAACGGAGCGATTTGTGACGCCGCTCGCCTGAAAACAGCCCGATAGATATTGTCGGGTAAAAGTTACCGCTGTGTCAGAGAAGCGGAACAGACGAGACATTGAAAAATTCGAGCTTGCGGCTTGCGTAGGCTGGCTGTGTGTCAAATGACGACCGACAGCTTCTCCAATGTTGATGCCGGATGCGCTCGAGACGACCGCCGTCGAGATATTAGACATCGAGCCGACCACGGCAACGGCAACATCTAGATAACAGCCGAGTTCCTCACAAAAGCCTAATGATACTTACGCTGAGCGGTGCGCTTTGCAAGCTGGAAAGCCAACGATCCAGTCTGGCTCATGGCATATTCGATAGTTTTCTCGTGTTTCGTCAGGAACGGATATATTACCTAAATTTCGTTACAAACAGATGAATCAAACACTCACCCGATCGTAGATGAAAGGAGCACCACCCGTTGCTGTCCAGGCGAAGAAGCCGAACTTCCACATCTAAAGCTATTAAAAAGACAACAAAACGCACCGACCTCATACCATGGCACAAGGTGCAGAAGATAGAAGGTGTCGGCCACAGTTTCCAAAGACGTATAACAGGCATATACCGTCCAGTATTTGCGGTAGAAAGTCTAAACAGCGTCAGAAAACGACAGCTTCGCACCTGGGTGACAGCATCACGCTTTTTCGAAGCCCGGAATGCGTAATAACAGGGGAGTAGAGTACCGATAACGATCGAGCCGATACTACAAAGGAAGGCGAACACCATCTAAACGCGCGATGTTCTCTCAACAAAGATTCACCACTCCAGCTTGAACCCATCGAAGATATTCTCCAACCAAAAATCCGTCTTGGAAGAAGGCCGTAATTTGCGTTGTACGAAGTGGTTTTTCGGATCCAGGCATTTATTTTAGCACACAAAGTAACACAGGAGATCACAAATTGTGGATCGTACAAGTAAAATCTAGCATAAAAAATGGCTTAATATTCGGCCGCTCCATCATCTCCATCAGCGCCGTCGAGGCCGACCTCCTCGTAGTCCTTCTCCAGAGCGGCCATGTCTTCGCGGGCCTCGGTGAACTCGCCCTCTTCCATTCCTTCGCCGACGTACCTGACAAAAAAGATAGTTGGGAAGACCGAAAAACTATTACCAATGGACGAAGGCGCGCTTGGCATACATGAGGTCGAACTTCTGGTCGAGGCGGCACCAAGCTTCGGCGATCGCTGTGGTGTTGGAAAGCATGCAGACGGCGCGGTGAGTTTTGGCCATGTCGCCGCCCGGCACGACCGTTGGTGGCTGATAGTTGATGCCAACCTAAAAAAATCATAAATGCTGCTCCAATTATCGTACCTTGAATCCAGTTGGGCACCAGTCGACGAATTGCACCGACCGCTTGGCCTTGATCGACGTGATGGCTGCATTGACGTCTTTTGGCACGACATCGCCACGGTAGAGCAGGCAGACAGCCATGTATTTGCCGTTGCGGGGGTCGCACTTCACCATCTGATTTCCGGTCTCGAAGCAGGCGGAAGTGATGTCGTTGACAGAGCTGGCCTCGTGATAGGCCTAAGTTTCAAATTGCATAGTGAAAAAAGATGACGCTACCTTTTCTGCAGAGATCAGTGGCGAGTAGCTGGCCAACGGGAAATGGATGCGGGGATATGGCACCAGATTCGTTTGGAATTCGTTCAGGTCGACGTTGAGGGCTCCGTCGAAGCGCAACGAGGCTGTGATTGACGAGACGACCTAAAAGGAAAGATATAGACGGAAGGTACTCAAATACCTGTGCGATGATCCTGTTCAAGTTGGTGTAACTGGGCCGCTCCACGTCCAGGCTGCGTCGACAAATGTCGTAGATGGCCTCGTTGTCGACCATGAAGGCGCAATCAGAGTGCTCGAGCGTCGAGTGTGTAGTGAGTATGCTGTTGTACGGCTCAACGACGGAAGTCGAGACTTGCGGAGCCGGGTAGACCGAAAACTCGAGCTTGCTCTTCTTGCCGTATTCGGTTGAAAGGCGCTCCATAAGCAGCGAGGTGAATCCCGAGCCGGTTCCGCCGCCAAACGAGTGGAAGAATAGGAAGCCTTGGAATCCGCGGCAGTTCTCAGCGAGACGACGGACACGATCCACAACGGAGTCGACCACTTCTTTTCCAACGGTGTAGTGTCCGCGAGCGTAGTTGTTGGCAGCATCTTCATTGCCGGTGATCATCTGCTCCGGGTGGAAGAGTTGCTTGTAGTGTCCGTTTCGGATCTCGTCAACCACCGTCGGCTCCAGGTCGACCATCAGAGCCCGCGGGACGTAGCGGCCATTTCCGGTCTCGCTGAAGAAGGTGGTGAACGAGTCCTCCCGCTTCTCCTCGGACATTCGCTTGCCGTCCGGCTAAAGATAAAATATTAGTACACAGCTCAAATCGTCGTCTTCAATTTTAAGGGACTCGAAGGCAAAGGGCCAGAAAAAACAACAAAATCACACCTGGATACCATGCTCGAGGCAGTAGAGCTCCCAGGCGGCGTTGCCGATCTGGACTCCGGCTTGACCGATGTGGATAGAGATGACTTCACGCATTATGCTCTGAAACAAGGGTTTTGAACAAACTACGGGGAAAACCGGCCAGAAAAAGAATCGCAAATGAGATGTGAAAAAAGGAAATGCTTGCTGGACGAGAGAAAGAACCCGAAAGAGTTGCCGAAAAGTGAATTGTTGTTGTGAAAAGCCGAAATGCCCCTGGCCGCCGGTCTGTCGTTGGGGTCCCGAATGGAAGACCGTAACGAGGTAAGGGCCAGGCCACGGTTTAGGCTACAACCCAATCCGTAAGCTGTATGGTTTCGGAATCATGGGAGGGTCTTATTATTTTCTTCGATATTTTGCCGGGGGCAAAAGCCGTAAAAGTGGCATTGAGGCCGCATTTCCTGCGCCAAAAACTCGGGTTTGAAATTTCGGGATGGGGAACGGATTCGGGGCTTTCCCTCTGCCCGCCTTTGTGAAAAGGACCGCCCCGTAACATTGCATAACGAATTTTGTCAGCAATTTGCTAGAATTTTTGTATGTGACAATTTTTTCCTTTGCACGACTTGATTCAAACCTCTAAACTTGATTCCTCATCAGGACGATGGCCTCGTTGAACGTGGTCTGTCCGAATGCGCGCCGCTGTCCGGTCAAAGTCACGCCGGGGAAGCTGCTACGCGAGGTAAGGACCTTCAAAATCGTCTGAATTCATAGTTCAGGTGCTCGAAGAAGCCTGCTTACGCCAGGGCTACGTCCCCGAAGAATTCGAGCTGGTCCACCAGAAGAAGCGCGTCGATCTGTCGTTGCCCTTCCGGCTGTCTGGACTCCCGAACAATGCTGCCGTGGAATTGAGCAAGAGATCTGGCACGGGGAGTGGTATGGCTGAAATTGCTTTACAGGTGCGTCTGCGGGAGATTCCTTGTTTAAAATTTTTTTAGGACGCCGATGGAAAGCGTATGACCGCGAAATTTCCTCTGGATGCGACGCTTGCTGACGTGCTGACGCAATTCTCCAACCAATTCGGCTCAAATCTTCTGACCGAAGACGGAGGGCTTCAACCGTCCTGCGCCTATATGAATAAACAGGTATATCAGCATTTTTTTGCAGCTACTTCTTTTTAGTACAAAGGGTTACTCCAGTTGGAGACAACCAGTCTGCGTGCGATGGGCCTTGGCCAGGAGCGAGCTTTGATTAGGTATAAGTTTTTGATCGTACAAGATTAATCTGTTTTTTTTTAGATACAATCGTGTCCCAATCAGTCCTGAGGAACTAGCTGCTCTAAGGGATGAAATCGAGAAAGGTATGTATAAATCCTTCCGAGTCAACCTTGCCTTGCGACACAACCAACATGCGCCTACTTTTGGTGAAACTACCATTTTAGAACTGGAACGCAAGGCCACGCTGTCGAGGGATTTTGAACGCAACAAAGTGGAAAATGCCCGCCGAGAGCAAATTGAGCAGGAACGGATGAGGGTGGGAACGCCACTTCCCTTTGCGTTATTTGTTTTTTTTAGAAATTCGAGGAAGACCAGGCCAGGGCGCGCACAGAGCAGAGGAAGTTGGAGCTGGAACGCGAGAGCCAGCATCAGGAGGAATCGATGGAGATCGAGTACGCGATAAAACTTTAAAATTCATCCTTTTCAGTCAGCCGCCCGTGAATTCTCGGGACATCCTGCCGGAGGCTCCCCAAGCTGACCCGAATTCTTGGTCTTTTGACAGGTAAGTTCCCAGTTGTTTTTCTTCGACTTATCATTTCTTTAGTGGCCCTTTCCGAACGATTGCCGCACCGCCACCGCAAAGCGATCGCCTCACACGCCTGAACAACCTTCTCTCAAACGTACGGTTTATCCTTGGATACCTACCTTACCGTTTCGAATCTCATAAAGTTACTTATAGCGCTTGTTTTAGGTGAACCAGTCTCTCTCTGGTCAGGGCGCCAATGGCATCGATAATCTTGTCGAGCGACTGGCAAACGATGGTCGCATCTCGATCGCGTCGCAAGAAAATTTGTATCCGCTGCGTGATTTTAAGGTAAGAGGGCTCTGGGTCATCTATATTTTTCTTAGTTCCCGGATCATCCTACGACAAGTAGCACAACCACAGAGCAGTCTGATGGCTCCTCCAAGCCTGTGGAAAATTTTGCGCCGGCCGCAGATCGTGAAACGATTGTCTTCCACAAAAGGTATTTCTTTTTATGGCAAGCTAAATTTATTTTTTCAGGGACCCCGCCACAACCAGCCACAATGCCGGAAGCAAGGAGTTGGACGAGAACTTTTTCGAGGTCAACGTCAACGATTTGCGTTCGATGCAGAAGGGGCTGGCCGAAGATGTGTTCGTTTTACAACCTATTTCCGGCACAGAGTGATTTCAGGAAACGGGAACAGCAACGCGCCCTCTTGCCCAAATCTTACATCGAAATGAAGAACAAAGAACGCAAATTGGCTGCATGGAGGAATACCGTGATCCGCATCGTGCTACCCGATCGCCGCATCATACAGGGCAATTTCAACTCGAATGAGTCAGGTATAATACTTTGAACGAGCCTTCCCAATTTTTGTGGTTTTCTTTTGGACTAGCAGATTAGTTTCGGTTTCCAGCTTCCCGTGTGACAGAATGGATGGCGGAGACCCTGGCGGATGAGAAGGATGCTTTCTCGTTGAGTCTGGCCCTCCATATCCCGTTCGACAATTCTTCCTCGAAGTCGTTGATTGATGTGAACGTCGCCCCAGCATGCACCATGTATCTCAAGATGAAGCGCACACGCGAGGATTACGGTTTTCACATTTATTTTCTCCGAAATGATTTTTTTAGGCGAACTGTTGCGCGCCGAACTTTCCGTGACTGACGAAGCGGACGCTGATCAGCGCAGCAAGGCTTGGTGCGTTTTTGGGTGCTCAGAAAGTCGACCAGACTCAATCTAGGCTCTCCGAGAACAGCGTGTATACCCCGTGGACTGGCGCGGTCATTGAGGATACGCGTGGCGGAGTCGTTCGACGGGCCAACGATGATGGTGAAGCGCCGGCCGGAAAGCGTGGACCAGCCCCCACCCTCCCCAAGTGGCTCAAGCGTTGATCTGCCACCTTGCACATGCCTTCCTTGCCTTTCTGTAATTCGTCACCGATTTTGAAAATGATGTGTATTTTCCGTTTTTGATTTTTTTTTTGCCAATAGGGGCATGAATTAGCTGTGTTGATTATGGTGTTGGATCGGTGATTACGGTTTTGTGATACTCGACGTGGTGAATAAATGATGGTTAAAACAGGCAGAGTCGCGTTGATCCGGGAAAGGAGAAGCAGTGCTTCCCCACTGGGATTCACTTGGCAGTCGACTCAGAAATTTTTTAGATTCCGGCGATAGTCTAACTAACCGCAAAGAGGAACCGGTGCAACAACATGATAAAGTCACCAATTGAGACTTGGTACTTGCCTGATCTTTTTGAGAGGTAGACAGACATACACTACAATTCATCCTTTAAGAAAAACGCGCACGAAAGGGGCCGGGGGAGCTAGACTACGCCGCGCTCCAAAACCCTCGCGTAACTGGATAGAAAGCAAAGGGGCAAAAAAAAAAATTTTACTTTCATCACGCTGTAACTTTTTTCTACGCGACTTTCATAATCTACTTGAACGCTGGAAAAATAGAAGAGAATTTTCTTTATCTTATGAAAGCGGTTTCGCGAAAATTGAGCGTGGCAAACGGGACTTCTGATTTTTTGAAGTTTTAAAAATGAGGTCAGTTATCGAGTGGGCTTGTATCCAGCTAAATACTAGCCCAAGTACCTGAATTGCATTTTTTTTTGTAGACTCTCTGTTATAAACCACCCAGATAAAACCTAAACTTGAGGTTTTTGAGATTTACTTGAAGGTTTCAGTCGAAGTTTTCAGAAGTTTTCAACTGGCCAGAACTTTTTTCGACGACGGTTTTCGATTATAATTACGGCCTAGGGACATGGAACAGACTTCGCTCTATCTTTCGCACATATTTTTAGAATATCCTAGCGTAGAAATTTAGCGAGCGGGACATGGAAGAGGGCAAATGAGCTTGCGATGTTTATTGGCCTATTCGGCCTGGACAGAAGGTGCTGGCTGGCTTTTTTTGGTTTTATAGCGTTACGGCAACCTATTATGAACGGTTGGAGCAAAAAGCAAAAAGAAAATGCAGACGGCTGTGGCCCCGGGAACCGAACCCGCATCCCCTGTCTCGGGGCTGGACCGCCGCCTTAGACCACTACACCACGCCCCGACCACCCCTCTCGTGCGCGCTCTGAAAGGCCGTGCATATTGGCACGGTTGGAAACGAGTTTTTTCGCTTTCGGGGTACTCATTTACTTAATTTACTTTGGTCTAGTTATTTGCCTACCTAGTTATTTAAGTAACAATGCATCAGCGGGTGAGCCCAAAAGGAATTGTTTCTTTGTCGTGCAATGGTATCAGAACTCGCTCGGGTCAAACCCTTATATAAGAAGTATCCACACAATCAATGGCCTATTAGTGCCTGTCTTCTGTGTGACAGCAGATGTAATTCCGTAGTCTAAAAGTCGCGCCGCTCTAAAAGTACGTGTAACCACTCGTTTCAGCTCTGTTAATTCCTATCCTTCTTTTGCAATCGATTTTTCTATGCTACCATGATGGTGACAACCTTTACATTTTTTTTGATTTATCATCATCGGTCTTTTAGCTAAATCCCGAATCAGACGCGGGTCAAACTCTTTTTTTAGGAAGAACGAAACTGAGAATTTTACAAAAATCCAAGTTGAAAACGTCGGATTTTGATAAAACTAATATTTGTGCGGTCGATTCCGGCCGATTCTGAACCTTATGACGCTTCTTCCCTATCCAAAAAGGCTTGCCTGTGGCGCGATTGTTCTATTTCTCGGAGCTAACTCCCTCTTTTTTCAGTTACCAGCGAGCAGAATGAGTGAAGAAATGCAACTCCAGCTTCTTCAGTTCATGGTAATCATCCGCAGTTCTTTCTTGAGCACACGTGTTTAGGAAATCACGGGCGAGAAGGACGAGAACATGGCCCGGGCCGTCCTCGAATCAATGAACTTCGACATGGAACGCGCCGTGGAGCAGCACCTCGCCAGCAATGGAGACATGTAAGCAAATTGGCTTTGATGGGTTTATCCTATTTCTAGGGACGACGTACACATCATCGAGCAGCCGCGCGAGCCGCGTCGGCCCTCGCCCGAGATCCCTGACATCGAGACAGAAGCCGTCATCCCAGAGCTGGCCCCGCGCCGCCCGGCACCATTTCATCAAGCCACGCACATAGGTGTGTTTGTCTTCGAAAATAGTGTCATTTGTGCTTTAGTTGAGCAGCCATCTTCGTCGGACGGGCCCAGCCGGAACACTCGCCAGCAGCGCAACGGCCCAGACCGCGTGCTGCGCCCGTTGACGAGGCAGAGGCCGGCCGCCCGCTTCGCTCAAGAAATTGACGACCATGACGATGGTTACGAACACATGGACTATGATGACGTGGATCAGGCGAGTTTTTTTTACTAAGTTCCCGGGCCGCTTTGGATTCAGCGCTGTCGATGAAAGTTTTGCTATAATAGATGGTTCGTCGGCCCCCACCCGCCTTTCCACATTTCTTTCCATTTCTGGTTGATTTGGCTGTAATAAAGTGTGCGATTTACAATGGTGCTTTTAATTCCGTGGCTCTACTTCCATGCCGCATCTGCATACCGGCTTTCGATTGCGCGATTTTTCAATACACTGTTTTTTTTTGAGGAAGCTTCTACCACCAGCTCATTCCCCTCCCATTCGTTTTCCTGCCCAGGATCTGAAACGAGAATGGGAATACTCTATTCTGCTCCCCAGGTGCTTAACTATTCCCGGCAATTGTGTTGTTGTCGCGCTCCCGAAAAAGTTGAAACGTTTACGTCTTTCTAATCTTTGTCTTTTTCAGGACGTCGCGGCGGACAACGGCACGAACGGCATCCCACTGATCCCGAGCGACTACGGCGACATCCGCGAGGCCATCAACAACTTTGTGACGGTGTTTGATGCTAGGCGAGGACGCATTTACTTTAAAGACCGTCAGAACGATGAAATATCGTTTAGAGCAAGAAAGTTGCGCACCACAGTCCGACGCGCTAGCCACTATACCACAGGGCCAAGTGGGGAAGGGAGTCAGAGGCGCCCCAAACCCCAGAGGGTCTTTGCCCCATACGGGGCACCACTAATGACGACCCTCTCTGCGCGTTCTTGGGGGCAGCACCCTCGGGGTGACAGTGCGCGTTCCATCGTTCTGGTAGTCTTTAATAAACATTTTTCTTTAGGTATCGGAACGGCGGCATCTCGGCCAAGTCGGCTCCGAACTTCTTCCACGGCGCCCTCCAGGACGCCGTGCAACAGGTTGGTGCCACTTTCATGGTAAACTCTCCCTTTTCTAGGCGTTCGATCCGGTTGGAGGCGGTGCGCAAGAGCGTCGCCCGCTCGCCCTCTACCTGCACCACGACCGCAGCGTCGCTGCCAACATTTTCCCGCAGGTAAGGGTTTTTGATATTTTCCTCATTTATTTTTTGTAGATCCTCATGTCGGATGCCGTCTCCAGCCTCCTGCGCGCCCAATACGTCCTGTGGCCTTGGGACATCACCCACCCAGATCAGAAGAACCAGGTATGCCTTCGGGTTATCATCAGCATCATCGTTATTTTAGCTACGTGACTGGATGTCGATCGGCTCGATGGACGAGGTGCGCCAAGTGTTCGAATTCCGGACCCGGAACCGCGATCTCTTCCCGATGCTCCTGCTCATCATCAAGGAGAAGGGCACGTTGAAGGTCGCCGAGTACATATCCGGTAAACATATCCTAGCTTTACGTGATTTCAGTTTTTTAGGAACTGATGGGAAAGAAGTTGCCGTGGAAAAACTGATGGCCGTCCTCGACGCCTACAACCAAATTCGCCTGAACTCCATGGCTGACGAGGCGGCACGCATCGAACGGGGTCGCCTACTTGAGGAACAACGCCAAGAGTGGGTGCTATGCTTGTTTTTCGCTTACTTACCGCTTTCGTCTTCTTCCTAGATGCAATAGATTGGTGGTTTTGATCTAAACATCTGCTTTCAGATACGAGGCCTCCCTGGCTGCTGACCGCGCCCGTGACGAGGCCCGCCAACGTGCCATTCGCGAACAGCAAGAAGCTGAGGAGAAGCGCATGCAAGAAGAAGCTGAGGAGGAGAATCGCCGGTGAGTTTTTTCTGTACTCGTTTTGCAAAACTTTTTCTAGGAAGCGCGTCGAGCAGCTGCTACCTGCAGAGCCCGCTGAAACGGAGACCAACCTGATGCATATCAAGATGCGGTGCCCGAGCGGAGAGCAGGTCCGTTGCTCACCTTCTGGTCTTTCAAGACCGTTATTTTAGCTGATGCGCCGCTTCCGACGCGCAGAGACCCTGGAGATGCTGCTCAACTACCTCGACACCAAGGGCTACCACACCGACAAGTACAAGTTCTTCAACTCTGATTTCCCGAAGAAGGATGTAAGTTTTTTGTTTGGTTTTCGCCTCCTGCTTTTTCTCTTAACCATACAGTACCTAATGATGATGATTATTTTTCCTTTTTAGATCACCACCTTGGACAAGCAATCGACGTTCAACGACTTGAAGTGGCCCGCCCGAGAGCAGATCTTCGTGGAAGAACTCTAAGGACATCGCCAGGAGGCTGCCCAATTCATCCTTCCCTCACGCATTCGCATGAAGCCCTTTATTCGGCGAAAATTTTATTGTAACTGGTCTTTTATGCCCTCATTTAAAGCTATCCTGCCCAGTGCCCTCTTTCCGGTTCTATATCCATTCAGGTACCCCGTTTTTTGTTGTATACACCGAGGATGCATGTATGTGTGTGTGCACATTTTTGATCAACAACTGTCGGGTGTCGCCAAATTATATTGTTCGCTTACCGATCTTTCTTCCCCCCCACTCGCCATTTCTAGTCTTTTTCAAAACCCCCTTATTAGTCACGCCCGTCCATTTTCGACCCCGGTTCCGCGCCCGAGTCTCATTGTTTTTACCCGAATAAAAGTAAACATTTTGATGGTTCCGCTATTTGCCTAGCTATGCTTACAGAGCTTGCGAGCAGAAGGATCAGATTTAGGCTTACGGTCTCGCTCGGATGGCTTTAATTTTAGTCAAGAAAAGCGGGTTGGAAAGGGCTTGGCTTAACTTGGGTGAATGAAGCTTACTTTTTTGTCATGGCTTACAAAGCTATCAGATTTGGCTTGACCAAACGCTAAGCGCAGGCTTAGGCGTAACCTCGTTCTTACACAGACTTAGAAACATCGTTTCGAACGTTAAAAACGGACCTGGGACCTGTTGACAGGTAAAAGTAGCGCAAAACAAGATGTTCTGGTGGACGTTCGCGCGAGACGGTTCTGGAGAAGCTAAGGTGTTTTAGAACTTCTAATCGACCTCAACCCCCCTTGCTGGTCATATCATAAAATCGCATATCGTTGCACCACATAGAGTATTTTTTCGTGTAATTTAATCTTTATGAATTCTTGTTTTAGTTGATTTATTTTTTATTTTTTCTTATCAGATTCCGCACCAGTACTATCGACAGCTACAGTAGAAGAATCAAGGGGTATCGCCGCGGAACGAGTCGATTTTCCAAATCCTAAATTCGTGCGTGATTTTTGTCTTTTCATCACGGCCAATAAAAAAGCCCAAAAAAGCGAGATTCTCGCCTCGTTTTTACTTTGGAATAACTTCGTTACTCTTGTTGATCAAAAACATACCTATTATACAAATGCCTAAACCTAAACAGATGCCAAAGGAAATTTTAGTAGTAAACTAGTGTCCCTCTGCCTATTTCCCCTTTTTGGAAGTGAGATCATGCTGCGATTATCAGTTGCGTCGTACTTGTTTCACATTATGCACCATCGCACAATTATCCGTGGCGTTTCTCGAAGAAGCAGGCGTAACCGGACCACCTGTTCTTATTCTCTTGCTAAGTATTTTCTTTTATTGAGCTTGTCCTTTTTCTTTTCTCTACTCACGTGGTTATTTTTTATCGTTTTTTTTCCAGGATGGCCTCGACGAAGCCTGACCCGGCTCCGCTTTTTGCTTTCAAGGCATCGCTGCGGCGTTCAATTTGGGAGGAGTCGTTGAAGTGCGAGCTCAGCCAGCTGGAAATCAATGTTGTTGCCGTAAGATTTGCTTGCTTGATCCAACAGACATTTAGGACATTGCCTCGCGCGACGCAACTGAGAAGGCCAACAAGCCTGTCGAGGCGACCAAATCGACACCGGATCTGGTCGAGGACATTCTGAAATCGTAGGGGATCCGTTTTGGCTATTAATTTGGCTTTGTTTCCAGAGTGACTACTTGCTCGAGCGCCGCAGCACGTTCCGAAAAGAAGCTTGATACGATGGTCGCAAAAGAAGGCGACGCGGACAAGAAATTGAGCTCCACTGATGCAATGGTCGAGACGCTGAGTCGCAAAGTGCAAGAACTCTACCAGGTTTCAAAACAACTCGAGCAACCAATCACTTTCCGCGTGCCTGCAGGTTAATTATTCCTTACTTGACAGTTATTGCTTGAATTAGGCGTCTCTGGTCTATACAACTGTGCCCTCGCAATGAAAGAAGGACGTCAACGGCTTTTCGAATCCGATGTGTCGGCTTTCCGCGAGCGTGTACTTGTTCACAAAAGCCGCATGGAAGAACTCGACATGCTCTTATATCACAAGCAGGAGGAGATCAATTTGCTGGACGAACAGAAAAGTAATTTGTTCCGTCATGCTAATATTTGTTGTTCTAGCCTTGCTGATTCATGACAGAGAGGAAAAGCAATCCATCTGCGAACAACTTGAGAACCAGCACAATACACTAGCAGCTCGCCAGGCTTTGCTGAAGTACGATTTAGCCTCTTTCTACTTACACGTTTTTCTTGTAGGGGAGAAAACGTCGAGAAATCTGTAAAGACTGTTTCTCTACAAGAACAACTGGAAGCTATCGATGCCGATGTCGAAGAATTCGGGGCGGAGATGCAGGAATTCCACGTACAGCTCAACGCTGTTGATGAGCAGAAGCTTGAGAAGGCGGACCAATTCGAAGCTCTCGATTCGCAGGTACATTGGTCTTCTTGCTAGTCAGTCTTTTGCAGTTCCATGATGCCTCCGAATCTGTCGTTGAAAAGAATCAACACCTTCTGAAGATCTCCAGTGACTTGGCCGATTGCCTTGAAAAGATCCGGGTAATGGATTCTATCCTTGCTTCATGAACGAATTCAGGCCGAATCCACGCTGCTAAACGAGAAACTATCGCAACAAATCGCGCGTCATTCGGCTGAAATGCTGATGGTCAAGGAGAAGGCATTTTGATTGGGCTTGTTACTATTCTTATTTAGTACACGAATGCTCATCAACGCGCAGCCCTGTGGAGCTCTATCCTGGAGGGACGGCGCTCATTGGCCGAGCAACAGGCTGCTTCAGCCGAGCTCGATGAAAGAAGCCGTCAGGATTCTGCGATCATCAGTGCCGTCAAGGCGTCGCTGGGTGTAAGAAGCTTTTCTGCTGCAAACAATCCACTTTATTAGGCTGTGGAGGAAGCTGACCCACAATCCACTTACGAACTTGAGACAATGCGAGGGGAATTGCGCAAGCTGAAGAAAGAGGTCGATTACGCCCAGGCTGAACTAAGATCAACCAGCGAACGTTTCAAGGGCCTCGAGGTTCAACTAAGCGAAATCGAGGGTGAACTCAAGGCGGAAGAGCCGGTTTGTAATTTTCATAATTTATTTGAAAACTACATTTAGCGAGTCCTCGTTGAGAAGCGGAAACAGCTGGCCGCCATGGTGACCGCAAACGAACAAAGGAAGTTTCGGGTTGGATTTGAGGAGTTTTGCGTATTATATTTGTAGGCTGCTAAACTGGCGCACGAATTGGAAGAAGAGATGATGGCGATGAGAAATCAAGAAAATAGCCGCGATAAGAGTAGCATGAGACGTGACAAGCAGCCAGCTCAACTGCCGAAATCCGCCACAAAGCGCCAAGCAGAGAAATACGAGAGCCCGCTGAAAAAGAGAGCGTATGGTTTTTTTTTATTGGCTCGATGTTCGTTTTAGGGTTGTGCCTCAAAAATACACACCGGTCAAATTCTCTCAGTTCCTGGATGAAACGGTTGGTGATTGTTGCTGATCTTATTATGCAATCCTAGTTGACCACTATGGATCCGGACACTGATCCCGAGGACATCTTCGAGCCGGCTCCCAGCAAGAAGTCAAAGCCACATATCCAACCGGTGTGGCATCGCAATGATTTTGACACTTTTTTTCAGAAGGCTACTAATGTGGTGGTGCCAAAGAAGCTCGAACGCAACCGCAGCATCAACTGCCGACCTACCGCGCAGACCATCGTTCCACCGAAGCCCCGTCGATTCAATTCGGAATGTATGCTTAGTTTTTCGAGATGCAATTTAATTTTTACAGCTACCGTCGCGGGACACGACGCCGAAGATTTGGGGGGCGCCGATTCCGAGGCGGGCATGATTCTGGTAGTAGAAGTTATCAAAATTCATAGTTTTTTTTAGAACCAGCGCTTCATGGAATCGATGCGCCACCGACGTGACCTGGCTGATATCTCTTTCGACATCGCTGACGCCATCACCAGCACGCCAATTGCGACTAGGTGCGAATTTCGGTTCTTTGAAAAGTTTTGGTTTTACAAGGGAAGGTTGTTTGGGTCAGGTGTCAAATCTTCCTGAAAATTTGCCAGTTGATAGAAAATCGAAAACGGAACAAGGTGCGCTAAGCCGTTTTCTGCACAATACCCCTAATTAAAAAGTTATAAGCATTTAAGTTTGTGGTCTAAAAATTGAGTTTTGCGCAGGCTTTTGCCTCGACACCGCACCGTTTCCACATTTTCTTCATGGGTGGTTTCATGACCCACTCTCGTCTCCACTCCCCCACGTATCTTCTAGCGCAATCGGTAGTGCGTTTGACTCCCAATCTTTTGAAAAATTCTTGGTAAAAGTTCGAGACTAAAACTTTTGCATCTTTTGCTTTTTGCTCTTGCAAATTAGGGTTAGTTAGCGTAAAATCCAAAAAGCAAAAAGCAAAAAGTTGGACGCATCAAAAACTTGAACTCGATTACAAAAATCTAAAAAATTTCGTAATCTACGGCACTACCTACTGCGCCAAACCGCTTGCCAGTCGGGCGACGCAAGAGCTTGAAAAGGGGGGGAGGCCACAATGAGGACCAGGTCAGAATTGTCGGGTCGTTTCGTGCTTTTTTATGTAACTTCAAAGGCCTATAACTTTTTAATTTGGGGTATTGTGCAAAAAATGAGATTAAGAAACCCCACTTTATTTTTGATTTTCTATCCACTGACAAAGTTTCAAGTCGATTTGACACCTGACCCAAACAACCTTCCCTTGTTAGGAAGACCGTCGCCAAGGAGCCGCCGAAAGCCTCGAAGGGCCAAAAGCCGAAGACGACTCGGGCTACCCCATCGCGCAGGGCCTGGTAGTCTAAGCCTACTGGCGTCAGAATATGTTCTTCCCTTGTTTCTGTGAATTTTTTGGACTAATGAATCAATGTTGTCGTTATTTTGTTCTCCGTGTTGTTGATTTAGTCGATGTTATCTAAATAGTTTACACTAACAATAAATGTTTTGCTTATTATCATTGAATGACTTTTGCGTTTATTTCGCGTTTATCACCTCTGATTCTCTTCAGGCGGTTCTTGGTTTGCCAACGATTGATTGAACTTTGTATCTTTATTTTTCGTAGCTGCGTGATGTCGCTGTCTCGGCTGAGCTCTGTGCGGACCGGCGGTCGCCTGGTCGCCATCCAGTCACATGCCCGCGGAGCCGCTCATGCTGCTGGTAAGGTTTTTTCCCTTTCGCCATCTTTCATTGAAGTGGTTTATCTGTCCTTTTCAGCGACGACGGCGGTGTCCGATTCTGATGAGCCGGGCTTTCTGCAGAAGGTGATGCTGCGCTGGAAAGGTGAGATTTCGCTTATTCTCCGGTACTATTCGAATAGGGATCCCGTTGAAGGGTGAAGCCCAGCCGCCGAAGACGATGTTTGATGATATTGGGCGTGAATGGTCTGCGCCGGAGCCATTGCCCGCCATGCCGAAGGATTTCAAGGAACACCCCGAGCGAGACCTGGTTTTTTTTTCGTCGAAGATTTGAAAACCTCTTAGGTGAACTTTCCCTATCCGGAGCGCGCTATGTACCCTCCCAAGACGCGAATGCTGATGATCCCCGATTCGTGGTGCACTCCTTTCCACAAGCTGACTGGAACCTCGGGTAATTTGAATTACCTTGTTCAGTGTTATGTTTAGGCCCATATCTATTCTTCGGCGGTGCGTTCGCCTTCCTGGTCAACAAGGAGCTGTGGGTGTATGAGGAGCAGGGCCACATGACGGCCGGTTGGATCCTTTTCTACCTGCTCATCTCGCGCTCCGTCGGCTTCCGCCTGGACCAGTACTTGTACGGAGAATTCCAAAACAGGTTTGTTCAATTCTTTGGAGTTTTGTAATGGTGCCTAGGATGAATTACTTCAAGGGGCTTATCCAAGAAGACCTCAAGGATGCCACCGAGTTCCGAAAGGTTAGACTAATATCTGAATTCTAATATTTCGGTTTTTAGACTTCTGCCGCTGAGACCACTTCGCTACAGGCCGTCAAGGAATCCTTCCCCACGATCCTCAAGGAGAACATGGAGCTGCAACTCGAGGCCACGTACAGGAAAAATGTTTCGACGGTCTCCACCGAGCTACAGCGCCGTATCAACTATCTCAAGGTAAATTTAGTTTACTGTTGCCGAAGGTTGATTTATGTGTCAGGTTTACAGGATCATTTAGTGAAATTCTAAGAAATAAGAGATTCCTGGATGTTTTTTTAGCTAGGCATAGATCGAATTATTGTGAAAAAGTTCTGATCCTAGTATCAGCCCAGCTGTTTCATCGGGTTATTGCGCTCGATACGTTCAATTTCAGGATACGGAGGACGCGAAGGCCCGTTTTGAGAAGAATCTCATGCTGAAGTGGATTGTGGAGGGGGTACGAGTTTAATCGTTTTACAATACAACGATTTTAGGTGGAACAGCAAGCGACGGATGCCAAGTTCAAGGAGCAGTTCCTCTCCAACTCGATCCAGCAGCTGAAGGGCTTGAAAGTCAACGTCTAATATCCTCCGTCAATCTTGGGCCCCCATCACGCATTAAAGCCAAGGATCGTGTTTTTGTTAGAAATCGCTATCGTAGATTACCCCGGAAATATCGTGATCTCATTCTTTTCCCAGTCGATAAATTGCTTGTGAAGAATTCGAGCAGTTAGATGTCGGTTTGTTCTGATATGGTGAACCAATTTTGCGAGGCTATGCTGGAAGCTGCTGCGTTTCGAGGGTTGCATAAGCGAGGATGGTGGTTGCGGGGAAAGGGAAAGTTGTCGGCTGCCCATTGCAGGGATGGACACGCGTAATGCAGTGACCCAGATCGCATGAGGGCGGCTTGCACGACCTCCCACCGATTGGAGAAGGGCACCCCTCGCCCCCATCGCGCTTTCACCCCCGCGTTTCCCCTTTCGCTTGGAGGGGATGAAGATTTTGAAATGGGTGTCGACGATCTGAATTTTCGGGTCTGGCAAGTGTAACAGAGTGCAAAAAAGCAACCATCCAGAAGTTGGAGCTGAAGAAATTGTTCAGAGCGGGGGATCCGGTCCGCTGCGGACTATATATTTGACGTTGACGACAGATCAGACCAAGGAGCTACCAAAGGATTAAAGAGCTTTTGCGGCTCTTTCCGATTATCGGGGGGGGGGGCAACTTTTTTCTTAGGATCGAATTTGTCAAATATAAATTGTGAAATGTTTTCTACAAATCCGAAACGTAGAACTGTGAACAAATTGTTGCTAAAAAATATTAAAGATATGGATTTTGACGAAGATTTCGACATTTTCAAAGGCTTTTGTAAAGTTTTTAGACAGTTTGTTCAGTTTAAATCGAGTTATATTTTGCTGAAGACACTATTAATACACTTGCTATTAGATTATTTGACATGTCTAGACTTATACAAAGAAGTCCCCCCCGATAATCCAAAAGAAAAAAAAAGCTACCGAATTACCAAAGCTCCTTGACCTCGGACAACTGTTAGTTGTTGCTCCTTTCACTTCTCAATCCCTTTAACGGCCAGCCGGGTTGGGGGCGGAGCCAGGCGGCTGGCCGGTGGGTGAAACTGTGGGTTTGTGTCAGGTGAAAGTAGGGAATTGGGACAGCAGAGAGTCGCTGCGCGGGGGGAAAGCGAGTGCCCTGGTGTGCCTCCAGTCCCTTTCACTCCTCTCGCTTTCCGGATCAGCATTTTCCCAGGTATCGCCTGATCCGAGAAAATCGCGACTTTTGGCCGTTTTTGGCAATGGCCCACCATCCGCATCATCACCAACATCCCTTTATTCCAGCTGTCTCTTCATTTAACCAGGTGCGCTTTTTCACCTGTTTTTCGAGTTCAGGCATGTTTCGCTTTTAGTTTGAAGCTTTATTTCCGGTCCTTTCGCATTATCGTGGGGACCGAACTTTTTTTAGAATTCTAGCAATGTCTATGAACTCCATATGAAGTGTTTTGATAGTTTTTGGTACCATATAAAATCAACCAACTAAAAAAACTCTAAAATTTTTAAAAATGTATTGGAAAAAGTCAAATTTAATTAAAAAATCGGCAGTTTTGGTCGAAAAAAGCTATTATTTTGCATACTTTTTTACTAAAAAATCATTTTTCCTAAAAATCAATAGGGATGCGTAAAAATATCAAGAAATTCCGAATGCTTTCATTTTTTAGCAGTATTTGTTTGGTTTGTTTATTAGTAGGCTTTTACCGAAAACCTTTCTTATTATCATTGATCCTTTTCACCTCCAATCAGCCAAATCTAGGCTAAACGCGCAACTAAAATACTTCCTATGATCACTCTAGGCAGATCTGACCTTATTACAAAAAAAATTTCGATTTTCTGATGAATAGTACTAAAGAACTAGGCCTTTACGGTATTTAACCAGTTTTAGGAAAAATGAACTTTAGGAAAAATGATTTTTAGGAAAAATGACTTTTAGGAAAAATGATTTTTAGGAAAAATGACTTTTAGGAAAAATGATTTTTAGGAAAAATGATTTTTAGGAAAAATGAATTTAGGAAAAATGAATTTAGGAAAAATGATTTTTAGGAAAAATGACTGTAATTCTGCCCAGTAAAGTAGTATACCCACACAGTAAAGTTGCTGAATTGAATTTAACTATTTTTAGGGCGCCGGGATGTCCGTATTCGGCCTTCAGCAGCTGTTTCCCGACGGTAAACCGGTGGCCCATTTGGCTCCGTTGACAATTATTGCCCCGCCCAGCGGTTCGTGCATTCAGGTGAGCATTTTTAAACAAGATGAATGTTACTTACTTTCCCAGGATCGTCGTTAAAAATCGTAACTGAAATTGTTATTCCGAAGTTTTTCTTGTCTGAAAATATATAAAATTTTCCCAAATTTTACGTTTACTTTAGCGGTTGAAGAGCCTTTTTTGGCGACCTCCGAAGATGATTTAGCATTTCTACTGATTCTAAAACACTTTAAAATATGAGCCTTTTCTCGAAAAAGCCCCTGGAATGAGTTTCCCAAATTCAAATTCATGGAAAAATCGAGTTTCAAAATCGGATTTTTAATTATCAAAAAATCCGTATATAATTGCGTTTATATAAAAAAACCCGTCGCTGTAGTTATGCTGCTGCTTGCTGCGTTAGTAGCATCCCCGCTAAAAGTGCTCTCCACCGCTAACAAACTAGTACCCTAAAACCAAACCGATCCGACAGCAATTCCACTCACCGTTTTCTAGACGTGCAGCAGCTCCGCCGCCGGCCCACTCCTCATTGCCGGCGAGCCAAACAACAACCGGGTACGTCTATTATTTTTTTAGCTCTGCCAAAAATAGCCTGCGATAATTTTAGTAAATTTTTAGTTTTCAGCACTTTAATGATATCGAAAAGTTCAGGGTTGCTTCGCCCGTTCGTCGACCCCATCATCGTCAATCTCGAACCCATCGTCGAGTACAGATGGAGAATCGTCATCTTCCCCTTCATCCCGTGTCATCGTCAGAACATATCCGAAGAAGCGCAAGGAGGTCGTCAAGGTAGGGGGGAAAGCTGGATCGTGGGAAATGTTTACAGGATGAGACTTATTGGGAACGTCGAAAAAAGAATAATGATGCGGCAAAACGGAGTCGAGATCAGCGGAGGCTAAAAGTTCGTTTTTCGACAAAGTTGCGCTTAGAAGCTGTGGTCCTGAACTGTTAGCGCCGGGGGGGGGGGGGTACAGGGGGAAAACTAATTTTTCCCAGTATTCCTGTACGGCCCTTTAAAAAAAATATAAACAATTTTTATAGAATTTGCATGGTTTTCAGATATAAAAATCTTCTAAAAAACTATAACAATTGTCGAAAATTTTGAGTTTTCGCTCAAGGTATGAAAATCACCAGAAAGAAGTCAGAATATTCGAATTTTCAACGAGGTTTATGATATTTTTGTAACTTTCTAGCAATCAGAAACTAGGAAAAACATTATAAAATTACACTATTTATCATTAACAGGTAGGTATAGACGCAAAACCAAAAACGCATAGTTTAACCCCCCTGCTAACAGTCCAGAACCGAAGCTGTCGATTCCTAGTGGCGATCCGAAGGTCTCCCCGCCCTGTCAATCAGATTTTTTAGGAAGATGAGGTGGCATCTCGCGCGCTGAGTCTCGAGCGGGAGAATGCAATGCTGAGGGAAGAGTTGCAGCGGCTACGCGCAGAGACATCGGCCCTTCACACTATTATTGTCGGCGGATCTGCACAAGTAAGGGAACGCGGTTTTAAATGGAGAAGATTGCGAAAAGCGACGAGTAACTTCCGCAGAACGTGTTCAATATTCCGTATTATGCACGAATCCGAAGGGAAGGCCAATTAAAACAGAATATGTCAAGAAATAGCAATTATTCTAGGTGATCCAACGACAACTCTCCGCCCCCACACCACAACTTCATCCAGCGCACCACTCTGTCATCAGATCCACGTCCCGGGAAACTGTATTCGTACAGGGACCCACCAGATGACAGATGTTTCCGCTACTTACTACCGAAGCCATCCGGATTCTATTTAACAGCTTTACTTTGATGATAAATTCGTACTACAAAAAATCATAGTAAGCAACTGGCGATAGGAAAATACTTTATCACATCAATCGCAAGAATTTACACGCTCGAGTTCTATTTACCAACTGTATAGTAGAGTTAATAATGGGGGGTTTTTAATTGGGTTCTTCATTTCTTCCGATTCTTCCGGTTCCGATCGCTGTCGAAGAACTGCGAGATGGCGGGCACATTCCGCTGCTGTCCATTCCTGAAAAAAGACAAACATCTGCAACAAGTACTGCCACATACCCCGGCTTTTCCATCAGCGAAGTGGTTGGCTTGGATCCCTTCAACAGCGCGTCCTTCATCTCATACACTCGCGATCCCCATGATTTTGGCTTGAAACTAGAAAAGCCGAATTCTACAAAAATTCGTTTCAAGCCTAACCGCTTCTTCAAATCGTTAAACGTCGGCCGGGCGCTGCGATCATCGATGAAACAGTTGGCCATCATCTCCGAATCACGTTGTCCCATACAAGGCGTCGGCTGCAGCTTCACCTTGCCCGAGACGATGCCCACCTTCACCTCGCGAAGTGTCTGCAACAAGTATATTTTGTATTAATCAAGGCTTGTTTATACCTTGACGTGATTGTAGGGGACGGCTCCATCCGAAAACACTTCATAGGCCACCACACCAAATGCCCACACATCAGATTTGGTCGAGAAAATGCCCTGTTCGATCGCTTCAGGGGACAGCCAGCTGAAAAATCATAGTTCTCTACTAATAAATGACAAAACTCTGCATACCGGATGGCCAGCTTTAACTGCTTGTTCCCTTTGACCTCCTTGCCAGGGGCGTCGGTGTAGCACGAGATGCCTAAATCCAATTTAACAGCCAGCAAACGCCACTCCCACCAAAATCACTGATCTTGCATCGCATCTTATCGTCCAGCAACACGTTTCGAGCCGCCAAATCACGATGGATCAGCTAGAAAAAGACAAATGAACAAATTATAATCAATTGATGTATACCAAATTCTTCTCGAGATATGCCATGCCGGAGAGAATTTGGAGGACAAAGATCCGCTTCTGCTTAATCGGCACCTTACTTTTCCGCATGAATTTCAGAAGAGAGCTGCCTGTTTGCGGAGAAGGAAATAGAAATGAATCGAGGATGGAATATACCGGTGGCAAGTTCCATGACAATCATGATCGGATTCTCAAGGCAAGCCAATCCAAACATCGCGATCACCGATTTGTGCTCCAGAGTGGCCAAGAACACGGCCTCGTTGATGAACATCATTCTAAAAAGAGGAATATCTATATAAGGGACGTTTCCAACTTGTCGCCAATGGCCGGGTCGACCTTCTTCTCCTTGCCCTTTTCCGTCTTTGATTTCCTAAAAAGGATCAGACTATTTTATCTGAAAAACCGTACTTTTTCTTGTTGTTATTGCCATCGGGGGTGGAGGGAACAGTGCCAAGCGTCGAAGAACCATCAGTCGCTCCCGGAGTGGCCATCACTTTGATCGCGCACTTGCTGTCTCCAAACGTTCCATCATAAACCTGGGGAATCGGGTTGGAGAAGAAGCAGAGAAATGACAGACCTCTCCAAAAGCGCCCTTGCCAATCACTTTTCCTGGGTTCACTTTCGTCGAATCCCAAATCCAAGGCGGTCGAGGAACTGGCTTCTCCAAAACGGGTCCACCCGGCTCCAACATTGTCTTGGTCGTCTTCAGCACATCCACCAACGACGGAACCGACAGCGCCACATATGCATCATTCACATAGTATCTTCCATTCTTTGTCGTGTGCACCAGATAGTTCCACATCAAATTGTCGTGCAACACCGAGACAACCGTGCACTACAATTCGCAGATGAACATGGCGGAGAAGGATAGACCTCTTGCTTGTTGACGTTGGTGATGTAGGAAACGAATTGGCCTTGTTCAACCAGCTGCCGGCGAACGATTCCCTAGAAAAACAAATCGATCAATAAGAAAAAGAAAAATCTCACAATCGGCATGTAGCCATGGAAGTAGTCGACATTTTTCAACGGGAACGGCCAGTTGGTGGCATCCTAAAAGGCTGATGAAGAGAAAAGTATGAAAAGACAACCTCTTTCGGATACGACGGCTCTTTGATGTTGGCATTCTGAAAAGAGCAACGGTGCATTATGGCATATTTTTCTAGTAAAAAAAAGAATTTCGTGCGGCCGAGGATACTAATGAATTCAGCGCCAAAAAGTGTGGATCCAATTGCAGCTAGCTAAAGGAGTCGGACGCGGAAGGGGGAAATGTGCAAAATTAATGAAGCTAGTGGGAGTATTTCTCGTTTTGTTGACACATGGCCTAATAAATAGTCGAACAATCTGCAAAAAAGGGATCTAGAAAAAAAAGCTGACGCGAATCTCTTGAATGTCAGTGGGCTGGTTGGGTTTGTTCTTGACTTCCTTCAACACATCGTATGAGCTGGTGCTGTGGGCGGAAGGGCTCGAGATTGTCGATGTGCTTGCCGTATCTGCCACCAGAGACACTTGATCAGCGCGCTGCAAGCGAAATACATTGTAAGAAAGACAGGAGCCGCTCACAGTGACGGCTGACGGTTTTTTCTGGTCACAATCTTCAGTCTTTTCCGTCTCGCACACATCCAATTCTTTTTTCTTGCCCTAAAATGTAATAATTTCCTACAACGTAATACAAACTTTTGATTTCGCTTTGGACCGGCGCTGTTGCTTTGAGGGTGACTTGACGGGAGTTGGCTTTTCCGGCTCGATTTTCTCAGGCTTCTCCTTCGGTTTTTCGACCGGCGTCTTTTTTGGGACCACTACAGCACTGACAACTGTTGGCTCCGGTGGCAGGATGTGGTGCGTCTTTTCTTGGGAACCAGCGTTAGTTGGTTGCTCCGGTGGGGTGTTCTTCTCCGAGACGGCGGCAGTAACTGTTGGTTCCGGTTGGGTAGGAGATGTTGACTCGGCTGATGCCGGCGACGGAGCTAAAAGCAAATATATGGTAGTTTGCAATAATTACCAGTGACCGGCGAGGGCGGAGCAGATTGTGTCGGTGGAGAAGACTTTTTTCGCTCTTTCAACTTTCGCAACGAGTCATCGACGTGCAGCCCGATAACGTCGTAGACGCCCTCATCCGTGTTGTCTTCGGTCACGGCATCTTTGTTGTTCGGAGCACCCGGCTGCAACAACGAGTAAAAAAGAGTAAAGGTCTGGGCAACCTCGGGGACCCGCATCGGCACCATCGAATGGCGGCTTGTCCAATTTTGAAGGGTCGGGAGGCTAAATCACGTGAATTATCTGGAAATAACAACACACCGATCCTTGAGTCTTCTCAGAGATGATATCTGAAAAAGCGCAATCTTCTCAAAGACAACAATTCGCAGGCAAGCGAACAGAGTTGGCGACAGACCTGGATTACTTCGAGGCTGCTCGGGATCCATAAATTCCCGAACGGACAAAACCAACCGACCCGCGAGTAGTAAAGAAATGCAGAAGGCACCGATGAATTGCGCAATCACTGCATTCAAAACAACTTCCGTATGCCAAAATGTATCCGCCGGGATTCCAAGCAACCGCGATTCAATCCGATGCATTGCAATGCAACAATTGCAATTCCATTTCAAAGATTTATCACACAATCACAAAGAATTCACAGTTTTGATCGTAGCTTGTGCAGCAGTTCTCCGTGCTGCCCCTGTCGACGCACCTCCTTCTCGCGCTCCCGATCCCTAAACAAGTTATAATCAGTCAGAAAAAGAATGTTACCATATTACGCGCGTCCCAATGTTCTTCAAAATGCCACAGCTCAGCCCTTCGTAGTAGACACGGTCGCTCAGTCGGGTGCTGTCGAAGAACTTTTTCGGTTTGTTTGCCAGTAATTGAGCACCGTGTTGAGCTCGAGCCATTCGTAGGGCCTCACCTGAACAAGAACGATTAGAAACGGTCCAAAAAGGGGCGCTACTTAAGTTTGCTGGCCCCACTTATATATGGCCAAAACCTCATTTTTCTGGTTCAGTTTTTTGCGCTGATTACGGAAAACACTATCCCAGCCCACGAAAATGCGATTTAGTAAAACAATTTAATTGGAATGTCGGGAAAATTCCATTTTACGGCGGTCGCGTAAAAGGAGCCTTTTTGAGGTTTTTTAATTAAATAATGGCCAAAAACGGGTTTATCATGAATAAAGTAAGCCAGTAGCATTGTCAGGCAAGGCGGGCCGTCGCTTCGGATGGGCTGCCGCTCCACTCTTTCGAAATCGGGGCGCCTGGCCGCTTCGCGCGCCTCGGGCGCCCCGATTTCAAAACCCTGTACGAGCTCGCACCCATCCGAAGCGACTAGGCCCCGGGGTGGCACGAAGCCTTATTTTTAGGAAAAAAAGCGGATGCAATCGCTCTCGCTGGAAATCCTCGTTGGAAAAATCTTTTCCACTGATTTATCGGCCTCCCGCATCAAAACACCAGGTTGGCCCCCTTTAAAAACTCAATCGAAAATCAAGTGTTTTCTCCCCTCAAAATTCACGATTTCATTTTCGTGGGCTGGGATAGTGTTTTCCGTAATCAGTGCAAAAAACTGAACCAGAAAAATGAGGTTTTGGCCATATATAAGTGGGGCCAGCAAACTTAAGTAGCGCCCAAAAAGGCGGTACCTTTTTCTGCGATTTGGTTTTTCGGCCGTGATAGGCGAAGAATGGTCGGGTTGGTGGTCGGCTCAGTGAGAGGGCGTTGTTGGCGATGACGAGGTGGCGTGGCTGCTAAAATTCCAAGTTCAACAGGGAACGGGCAAAGAATATCGCCATGCCTCAAACCCTCGAGAGCTCAAAACCCCGAAAAATGAGAAAACTCACCGCGTGCTGGGATCATTCGAGGCAGAGCAGGAGGCAGCAGCAAGCCCTCATCATCGTCGAAATTGAGTTGCGGGGGCGGAGCACGATGCCGAGGTGGCGTGGCTGCTAAAATTCCAAGTTCAAGAGGGAACGGGAAAGTAATATCGCAATGTCTCAAACCCTCGGGAGGTCAAAACCCCTAAAAATCAGAAAACTCACCGCGTGCTGGGATCATTCGAGGCAGAGCAGGAGGCAGCAGCAAGCCCTCATCATCGTCGAAATTGAGTTGCGGGGGCGGAGCACGAACTGCTGGTTCCTCCATCGGAAGTGCGTAGCGTCTGCCTGATCTTGTTGTGCCCGGAGTTATAGGCTTTTCCGTGGGAGCGGCCCGCATTCACTGAAAAAAACAACCTCGAATACGAAAATCACTCGACTAAACTAAAAGAAAAGAAATTATATGAAGGAGCACAAAAAACTTTCCAACCGGAAAACGGTAAAAATTCCAGAAAAAAGCCGAAAAATCAACGAGTCGAATGAAACCGCGGAGCGCCGTATAGCAAGGAGTTCAATGTTACGGTCGATTACGTCGATAGTATTGCAACGTTGCCTTTCATCGCATGACCCTCGCATCTCAATTTCGAGTCTAAAATTGATATTTTTGGTGTTTTTAGGGTATTTTCTATGTTGTTTTTGCAGATTTGTAGTTTTCGAGCTTTTCGTCTCAATCATGTGAAATAGCTATGAAATAAGTTACAATCCCCGACGGCCGGATCTCTCAAATTTCCGCAATTTCTATGCTTCAAACGATCTCGCGGATTCGCAAAACCGAAAACCGAAAAACGTCAGCATCAAAAACTGAAAATGAGCGCGATTGACTTCTTTCTGTTGAGAGCTTCCGAAAAGCCATTCATCCATTTTCAGATACCCGTTCTCGCGGATTTGCTGATCATGAGCGAGGTCTTCGTGGCGACCGCTACAAAACTCAACGATTTGTTCGAATCGCAGATCCATGTAAGCCTTTGTTTTTACAGCTAAAGTTTCTTTTGTTAGGAGAATCGCCATCTTCAAATTTTCGTCGACCACGTGATGCAACGTCTTATTGTCAAGGGCAGCGACGATCGTCAGCTAAAATCGGTTTGGTATTTTCCACAAAAAACACGTAATTTTTAGATTTCGATTGAAAGGGAACATTGCCGGGTGATAAAGAAGGACTTGCAATTGGTTTTCCAAAAGGAGGGCCTTTTTCGGTAACTTTTCTCGAGAATTAACAGTTGTGTGTTGTGCTTAGGTTTCGGCTCACGATGCGCGATGCTGCAAACATGGCCAAGTTGTATAACGCGGTGAAGAGGCACATTGCTATCGAGGTACTCAGATCTAATATAATAACTGTTTTTTTATAGGTCCGTGAGACGCAGTTAGGAGGCGGCGAGGAGAAGCCGATGATTCAACCATTTTCACAGAATCTGGTATCGTTGAACGCTGATACAAAATTGATCGATTTTAGCAGCTCACATATTCCCAAACGATTGGTGGAGTGGGCACGCCTTCTCCAGCCATTGACGATGGCTCTCTGGCCTTGTCTCCACCGCGCAAACGTCATTGTATAAAAGAAGAACCGATCGACACGCCGGAGAAGATACTCGCAAAATCCGCAGAAGGTAGACGGCCAAAGATTCGCGAGTTTTTCGACGAGCTTTATCGCCGGGATCCTGTAGGATTGGAGGTATGAATTTCGATGCTTCAACCGGATGGGTTCTGTTTAGCAAGCCTTCGTTCGAATCGGTGAAGAGCTGCTGAAGATACCGAGTTTCCGGCAGCTGCACGGACGAACTTGACCGGCCGCTGTTTCCGACAGGTATAATTCCTCTGTCACGTGGTGCTAATCAGTTTTTTTAGCCAAACAAGAAGACGTCAAGCCCGTGAAATATTTGGAGAGCGAGCCCGAATAAACCGACTGCAACAGTTCTGCCTCATGTCTACATTCCAGCCATAACTACTTGTGTTCGTTTTGCTTGTTGTTGTTATTTCTACCTTGTTTTCTTTGTGAATCATCATCGTTGCCGTGTTACCCACCTTGTTTCCACCACATTAACGAATAAATTTATACTAACGCAATGTGTGTGATCAATTTATTGGGAGGAAAGTCGCATACACCAACAGCAGTTTTTAATTCTTCTTGTGTAGATTCTAAGCGTGGCCGCATCCGGAAATTAATCGAACTGAAACGGCGTATGGTTGTATGGTGGTCGACCACTTTTCTCTCGGGCACGTATCGTGCTCCATGGTAAGGCTGGCTGGGGTCCCAGTCGACCGGATCACAATACGAGAGGCCGTTTTCCTGGATGATAGTATCAATAGTGTATTTGGAGATTAACGAACCTCGCGGGCGATATCCAACATCTTCCACACATAGTCATAATCCGGGATATCCTTGTAGTCGAGCTTGTCGAGATATGTCAAAATCCTGTAAGCGTTCAATACGATTTCGATGAGCAAGCATGATTGAAGGAAGAGTTACCGAGAATAAGCCTGCACGGGGCAGCCCTCAAATAATTGAGAGCGCAGCTTATCACGTGAATCCGCCTTCAATGCCCGCATTTTGTCCCGCTCGGCGCCCTAGGAAGGATGGCGATGATATCTGTAAAAGTTCACATACCTTACATGCCTTCCATGGCAATTTCCCGGAAGTCAATTCGATCATCATGTACAACCAGGACTCGACATCGTCACGGCGACTCTGCTCCTCGTGGCGATGAGCCGTCCTGTAATACACTATTGCCTCTGGATTGTTAACGAGGGTGGAAAGCTGTCTAGCGTACAGCCGGCTAGCAAAATGTTGAATTTTTTTACTGCTATTAGTACTAAACAATCCTTTAAAGTTTCAAATTTTGAAATGAACTCAAATTTAAACTTTTTATCGACTTTTTGTACATAAAAACTAAGCAAAAATATATAAATCGTTCAAAGTTAGGATTCGCCCGCTAACAGTCCAGCACGGGACTAGGCAGTGTTTTAGAGCATAACAAACAATGGAGCATAGCGGCCGGTTCCTCGCCAAGGACAGTACAGACGCGGGTTGCGGATTTCCTTCCCATCTTGCCTAAAAACCGAGTCCGCTCGATGATTTTTCGAACTTGAAGCAACGGGCCATTCCGAAATCGATGATAAAGATCGTGTGCGATTCCTCATCCCTTCCGATCGTAAAGTTGAGCGGCTTGATATCGCGATGAAGCCAGCCAATCTTAATCTGCCTCTCATTGTTTCATTTCAACAAAACCCTGTGCAAATCGCGGATTGCCTGCAGCGTCTGTTCGGCCACCTTCAGCGCCGTGTTGATGGAGAAGCGCTGATACTTGCGGTCCCTTCGCAGATGCCAGATGTTCGGTCCCAACTATTTAAAAGGTGTTATTACCCTTTTTTTAGTCATACCAGTGTCATGGTGAAGAAATTGAAGCGATCAGCAACGGCACCTTTGTCAATGACCTAAATGCAGGTTATTCCAGTTTTGCATTCTTGACCGGAGCGCTACGCTCAGGGTCCTAGTAATGCATTGCAAATGCATTTTCACGCTGTTTTTAAATGTAAAAGTTGGCTGGCTATGGCTGAGAGCATTTAAAAAAAAGTTATAACACGCTAAAATTTTGCTATTGACAGATAGGCCACATAGCTCCCATCAACACTAATAGTACAGAACAGATGATTCAGCTATCCAGCTACCTTGCAGAAATGGGGGCTTTGGATGTTGAAGGCGGCTTCGAGAACCCCGCATTCAAGCTTGATGAACTAAATAGAGAGGCGAGTAGAGCCGGAATCAGGAGATCTAACTCGTCGCTTGACTGCCATGTGCTCACACTTCATCGCGAATTGGCGGCCATCGCCACGACGACGAGCCAGATAAACGAGCCCGAATGTTCCTTGGCCAAGCACCTTGATGATCTACACGAAAAATAGACAAAAAATTATCTAGAAGAAAATAAAGCCGACCTCGTATTCGATTTTGGCCTCCTGGCTGTGCACTTCTTCTCCGAGTTTTGGCAGTCCCGGCGGCGGCTCGATCACCTAATAGAAAGAAATTATTGTATAATGTTTATTACTGAAATTGTTTCATACATTCTTTAGAGTGTAGCATAGCCTAGCCTTATTTATAAAGAATCGTTTGTGGATTCCGAATTCCTAAAACAAGCCTTTTCCTTTTCAGTTTTTTCGCGTGACGTCGGGCCGTTCTGCATGTCGAATCAAGTAGAAAATGAAGGCTTTTCATTTTTTGGGAGATTTCTTTCCATTCCACCGCATAATTTTTACGTCACATTCCTAATTGCACCGTAACATTGGTTTTCCAAAGCGCACCACTGCACGTGGTACGGTAGCGGGGGACGCGAGCGGCTGTTTCAATTTTTTATTTTGTACGATTTTTCTCGTATTCTTGCTTTCACGTTTGGTCGCAACCCGTCAACTTTCTTATTATTATTTCCTTATCCTTATTTTATCGTGCGCCCCCTGGAAATAACACGACTGTGGTGCACATTCCAAAATGTTATTGAAAGGGACTCTTTTTTTAGTGGCTTTCCCTCGCGTATTTTTCTCGTCTACTTTCGCTGTTGGTGGCGACCCGTAATTAACGCCTTTGGACGCCTTATTTTACTTTTGCCCGTGTAAATAACGCCCACTGTAATGTTCGTCCTAAAAATCCCATTGAAAGAGCGTTAGTTTTTTGCAGCTGTTTTCCGCGACTTGCTTTTGCTATGGGCGGCCCCCCGTAACGCGCCTATCGCCCTTGCGCCATTCTGGTTTTTTCCGTAACACGTCGGGAAAAAGGCTTAATGTGTAAATATTTTTGACTCTTTTCATCCTGGGGCGCTCAATAGAGGGCTGTTCTTTACAGGTTTACCTCGGCGTTCTTCAAAGTCTTTCTTTACTGACTTTACTCATTTACTTCCTTACTTTATTCTTTACAGCGCAACGACAAGATATGAGCTTCGAGCGAGGTCGTGCCATCGACACGAGCACCTTGGACGAGGAAGGCCTCCGACAATTCGAACGCGAGAAGCGACGGGTACGAATTTTGTTAGACTCGTGTGTATGTAAAATTTAGGTGTCTGCCTACAAGACGGCCCTCTGCTCCACGTTCATGTCTACCGGGCATTGCATGTTTGGCCGTGACTGCACGTATGATTTCTTGACAATGGTTATTAACTCTAACTTTTTTAGATTTGCTCATGCCCAACACGAGCTGCGCGTTTCCGAGCCTCGCGGGCGTCGCCATCCAAAGTACAAGACGACACTCTGCGACAAGTTCTCGGCGACGGGCTACTGCAAGTATGCCGAGCGCTGTCAGTTCATCCACGAGCTCCGCAACCAGCGCATCATCGAGGCGAGGAGGCGCAACGGGCTGGCGCAAAATGCGGTAAATTTTTGCTTTATTCTTCTCGCAACATTCTTCACTCCTCTATAGCCATTTGCCCTACATTTTCGATAAAAAGTCGAAAGTGATTAATTTGTCGGATCCAAGGAGTTTTTTGCGTTATCTGATTTCGTATAATTTTTTTTTAGAACATCCGCCCGGGAGACTCTCTCGTCACGCCGGTGCCGCTGATGGACTTGAGTCGGCATTCCTTCAGGCGAGAGCCCTTCGCCCCACAGCGCCAGAGCAGCTTTCCCCGAGTTCCGGCGCGCATCGACCTGAATGAAACCTGGGCCGGGCCGGAGACAGAAAATAGTTGGACCTACACGCCCAATCGGCAGCAGCCGATTCAAAACGACGAAAATCGCTTCCGAGTGCAGCGTGAACGCATATGGGCGGTAAATTTTATTCTTTCTTCCTAGATTTTGTTTAGTGGAATGCGGGTGAGATGTCCAATTCGAGCACCACCACTTACAACTCGATTCTCTCTGCCGATGGGCGCCCATCCGCTCATCTCGACCCGTTTGGCGGTGTCGTTGACGAGAAAGACAAATTGAACTGGAGGTACTTTTTACCGGATGGAGCTTTTTGCAATTTATGGCACAGGACTTCGCGGGGGCAGAAAGGCAGCTAGTAGCAAAAACTTCAAGATTTATAGTATAGTATTAGGATGGCTGGGTTACTTTCACCGGATTGAAGCATTTTTGCCAAAAAAGTCATTTTTTTTTTGATTGTTTAATCTTTTTGAATAAATTTTCTAGGGATAAAAACTAGGATGGATTTAAAGCTAGGGTGTATTTCCCGGTTGGGACTCTGGAAGTTACTTCCGTCCGCTGCCAGTCGATGGCTCATTTTATATTATCGTTTTAGTATGCCGCTGCCGCCACCCGCCGATTTCAACCCGATGGGCTCCAGACGTCCTCCGCTCCAGCCATTTTACGACCACCACCCCGATCTCCACTAGATGGAAGAAACCAAGTTGCCCTCAACTTTCGTCAGTGTCCCGCTCAATACTCAACCCCCCACTCGCTTACTTTTGTGATTTCATCGTTCGCTTTCCGGAACGGCCCGCGTTACTCACATACTACTTACTAATCAATATCCATTGTTCGTATTGTTTGTATCTTTTAACGTTTCTTGTGCTCGATCGTTTGTATCCGCGAGTTATCTCTATTTTGGCCGAAATATAGTTGCTGATTGAAATGCATTTCTTATACTACACGTCCGGGGCGCAAATTTTTTCGCTTTCCGAGAAAGAGTATATGTGGTTTTATGGGCCAGCGAAATTGTGAGACTCTTGTCTGTTCTAGTGTTGGAAAGCGCAGACAGCGCCCCCGAAACGTTCAGTTTATGCCCCCTGGTGAAATGTTTTTGTTTAGATTCGTAGAGTTGGTCGCACCGGGGCAAACTGGAGCCAGTTCGACTGCTTTCGCAGCGAATTGCTTGTAGTAGTCGTCTTGTTATGGCCGTGATTGCTCTAATATTTTTTGGGCTGTTTGTAGGATCAATCGAAGCGGTGAATCTGAAGGCGAATAGGTGAATGGGTTAGCTTATTCAGTAGGAATTTTCTAATTGCTGCAGATTTTTATATAGTCGAGTGCAACAGAAGAAAGGTGCCACCTCAGTCGGCCCAGTTAATCGTGATGAGGGGAGATGAGGACGGCATCTGTTGAACCCTCCTTGGGGAGGGGGGGTTCAACAGATGCAGCGGCGAGAGAGGGCGCCCAGGGGAGAGGCGCAGAGAGATTTTCTTTCCCGCGCGTAATCGATTGATTGCCGCCCCTATCCCTTTAAAATGGCTTCAGGGCGACGGCGACTTCGTTTGCCATCGACTATGATAATGATCGATTTGTGCTGGATGGGCAGCCGTTTCGCTATTTATCCGGTTCGTTCTTTTAATTCGAATATTAAAGGCAGGCTTTATTGTTGGATACGTTCCATATTTTTTCTTTATTTTTTTGTAGAGGACAAAAAGATGGGTTTCCTTTTTGAGGGGAATGAAAGTAAAATCCTTTGGCGAATTGAAAGACTCGTTTTGCGATAGGAAAACGAGGCATATGCCTATCAAAGAATTTAATGGATTTTTCAGGTTCAATTCACTACTTCCGGATGCCGCGCGTCTACTGGGAAGATCGGCTGCGACGGATGCGGGCGATGGGGCTGAACGCGATTCAGACCTACGTACCGTGGAATTTCCACGAGCCGCAGCACGGGCAGTAAGTCCACTCGTTTATTATTTGGTGCTGGTTCGTTAACGTAGGGGGGGGACCTAGCATTTGTCCTGTTTTTCCATGTACCGAATGATGAAAAAAACTTGTGAAAACTTTTTCGATTTCGAAAAATGTTGTTTGTTTTTGTCATATAAGGTTGGATAATAAGTTCTGTCACAATTTTTTGGAATAGCTTGTTAAAGCTGCAGACGTGCGCAAATTAATAGTGTGATATATGGTTTGATAGGTCTCCGCAAGCTTTACCTTGGGTAGACCCTCCTCGCAACCAAAGATTGCGAGTCGCCGAGATAGAGCTTCGATAAGTTTTCTGCAGAAACGTACCAAACCTATTTTGCAAGCTATCTCTGCATAGAGCAATTTGCATGCGATACCTTTAAGACCAATCGATAGCTTTCGAGGAGTAGATATCGATAGATGTTGAGATCATCCAAATCGGACTTCGGATGGCCGAGATATGGTCCCGTGAAATTTGGCCCGTTTCTTAGAACTTTTCTCGAAATCCCATACATTTGATCAACCGGAGCCAAAACTGGCCGCTTGATTTTTGAAAGAACCGGGAGCATTTTGACCAAATGTATGGGATTTCGAGAAAAGTTCTAAGAAATGGGCCAAATTTCAAGGGTCGTATCTCGGCCATCCGATGTACGATTTTGATGATCTCAACGTCTATCGATATCTACTCCCCGAAAGCTATCGATTGGTATTAAAGGTATCGCAAGCAAATTGCTCTATGCAGAGATAGCTTGCAAAATAGGTTTGGTACGTTTTTGCGGAAAACTTATCGGGCCTGTATCTCGACGTCGCTCAATTTTTCCGTCAATTGAGGGTCCTCCCAGAATAAAGTGTTGTGAGAACTATCAATCCATACCTCATACTCCAGAATTGGAAACATCTGCGATTTTAACGAGCGATTTCAAAAAATTGTGACAGAACTTATTATCCAACCTGATAAATTTGTGAAAAACGTTCAAACATTGCTAAATTTATTTTTCTTTCTTTGCCAACCTTTTCTGAACAATTTAGGGCCAATTCAAAAGGTTAAAACGACATGAAATACTATATATTCTATTATACCTCTCTCCCACCCCCCGATAACGCACCAGTACCCATTATTAACCCTTTTTCCTTCAGCTACCTCTTCGATCATCAGCGCGACCTCATCGAGTTCATCCGAATTGCCGAAAGATTGGGGCTGTATACGTTGCTCCGCGTCGGCCCCTACATTTGCGCGTTGGTTTTTAAGGGTCTAATTTTTTTCTAAAGGACACATATAGTTAATTGCTTTAATAAATGATTTAATTTAAATATTTGGTATTTAGATTATAAAATATAGTACATTTTTGCAACTTAATTTTGATTTTTAGAGAATGGGAAAACGGCGGGTTGCCGTATTGGCTGTTGAAGGAGAAGGGGATCAAGATGCGGACAAGTGACCCGAAATACACGAAATATGTCGAAAAGTATGTTTATTAATCAAAAAAATAAAAAATCTCTTAGAGTTATTTCTAAATGTTAATTTATATACAAAAACAAGCAGTTAATAAAACAAATAATAAAAATTATATATAATTCTTTCTAATTCCAGATGGTTCGGCGTGCTGCTTCCGAAAGTTCGCCCATTAATGCGCGCAAACGGCGGACCCGTTTTAATGGTATGAAATGCCGAATTAGAATTTACTATTAAATAAAAATTTAAATGGTTTTAATTATGATACTTTTGCAGGTTCAAGTGGAGAATGAGTACGGTAGTTTCTCGGGATGTGATGCAGAATATACGGGATGGCTGAGGGATCTTTTCCGCAAGCAACTCGGCAACGACACCGTCCTCTATACGAGTTGGTGCATTTTGTATATAAAAAATTGGTTAAAATAGTTTGTTAAAAATTATATAAACTAAAAAATAAGTTTTAATTTCAATTCAAAGCGGTTTTTATAGTTGTTTGGTTTTTAATGGAGTTTTTCATAGAAAGATTTGCTTCCTCTTACAAAGCTGGTACACATAGGATAGCGGGGGGGGGAATAAAATAACGGGGGGGCACTCATTATTATGAAATTTGCAATTACTGAGGGATTTTGCGAGTGCCATTCGATAGAGCGTCGAAAAATATACTAAGAGAATTAATTTCAGCCCGAAATAATGTAATAGAAATTTTTTATTGAATAAACAAAAAGTGAGGAAAATCTATGGGCAGCACATAGGATAACGGGGGGGGGAAAGTCAAATTTTCGAAATTTTCGACATTTTCGGTATTTTGAAAACGTCATTCGATAAAGCGTCGAAAACTGCCCTAGGAAAATTAATTTCAGCCCAAAATAATGTAAATGAAATTTTTTATCGAATAAACAAAAATTGATCAAAATCCATGGGCAGCACATAGGATAACGGGGAAAGCCAAATTTTTGAGATTTTCGATATTTTGAAAACGCGAATCGATAGAACATCAAAAAATATACTAAGAGATTTTTTTACAACGCGAAAAAATGTATTATAAAAGTTTTATAGCCTAAAAACTATTTTTGAAAACTATGGGCAGCACATAGGATAACAGGGGGGGAAAAAAATTTTCGGCGTTTTGAATATTTTCGAAATTTTGAAAATGCCATTCGATAGAGGACCGAAAAATATACTAAGAGTTTTTTTTACAGCCCGAAAAAAGCTTATTTAAAAATACTTTTATCATATAAAAAGTTTGAGTGCCCCCCCGTTATTTTTTTCCCCCCCCGTTATCCTATGTGTACCACAAAGCTAATATTTATTTTTAGTCTTATTTTAGTATTTTTTTATTTTTAAAATTCAGAAATGCCTATTAGCGTAATTATAAGTAGTATAGTAGTTTTTTTTAGCAAAACCTAACTAAATTCGAGGTAGAAAAGGTTTTTAAAAACTAGAAAATTTTGACATTTTGGCCGGAAATCGGCTTTTTTTTTGTTTGAAAAATCGATAATTTTATGTTTTTATAACAATTAGTATATTTTGTCTAGGAATGGAAAAAAGCCTAGAAACACTTGCTCGATTAATAGCAAAAACGTTGTACCCCCCGATATTGCGAAAGCACCCTTTTAATCCTGTACTAAATAATGGAATTTTGGAGGTGCTTGGTGCTGTCAATCGGTGAAGCATAATTTTTTTCAGCGGACGGCGGTTCGGAGGGTTTCCTAAAATGTGGCCCGATTCCCGGCGTGTATACTACGGTGGATTTTGGGCCCCAGTCGAATGAGGGAATCGATGCGGCTTTTCGCGCCCAGCGCAACCACACGCCGAATCATAGGGGTAATTTTAAATTTATGGCTGGAAATAAATTGGAATTAATTAATTTAGCAAGAGACCAGGGTTGAAAAGCCGCTTCGCGACTTTTCAACCCTGGCCCCATCTAACCCGATAATATTCTTCACTCTGCATACGTCTCTCGAATTCCTATGAGAAAAATGAAAAATTCCACGCTCTCGCGTTATATATAGGCTGCCGCTATTTCCGGCAGATGCTAATTTTTTCCTAACAAAGAAGGCTGTCGGATTTTTCAACAAAAACTCAATTTTAATGTCGAAAAAAGCATAATTTGCAAAATCCGATACGCGTGCAGTCATCTCCAGACCATTACGCTCCTAATGACGTATCATACGTAGCCTAATACCCTTCCCTCCTTGAGATATCCTCCGGACACCCTGACGGAAGTTGCATGCAAAGTGTCACACACACACACACACACACAAACACTATTTTTTTATATATAGTAGGATTAATTAATATAAAAGCACGCTTTAAAAATAACCAGTTAGTAAAATTCATGCAATTTTGGGAGAATTTTGACACTTGGTAAAGTTTACTATGTACCCAATTGATAGAAATTTAACTATTTTTCCAAAAAATTGTTTATTATGCACCATTTATAACTATGAAAATAATATTCAAAATTCTATTTTCGCCTCGGTAAAATCGAATTAATAATTTTCCACATTTTAATCAATTAAAAATTCTTTTTTTCTATTTGATTTTTTAGTAAATTAACAGCTTTTAAACACGCATTTTAGCAGGTCTTCTGTTAAATTCCAAAGTTTAAGAAAAATTAATTCAGAAATTTTGAATTATGATTAATTAATAAGAATTGATTTCGTGAAGAATTTAATAGATTCTGCCGTAAAAATAAATTTTAACTCAGGCCCCCTGGTAAATTCGGAGTTCTACGTGGGCTGGTTTGACAGCTGGAACGACACGACGAAGGAGGTGCCCTCAAATGAGCTCATTGTCAGCAGCGCCAGGTCAGGCGTTGCGGGCGCGTCGCCGTCTAGCGGTTGCCGCGAAGCGCCCTATTAAACGGCATAAAAAGGGCTTTAAATTTCTTATTTAACTTTGAATGTCATAGGATTGACATACCATTGATCAAGTCTTACTTTTTTAATCTAAAAGTTGGCCTTTAACTATCGACTAGCTTGGCTTACATAAATTTTTATATATAGTTTTCAAAATTTGCGTTATTTTTAATTTTCAAAGTTTATTTGGAGATTTTTATGATTTTTTTTGTATTTCCAAAGGTCAAAACAATTGCCAACTGAACGTCGCACTCGTGTAGCTTCAAAAAATTCGTAAATCCTCAACGAGTTTTGAAACATTTTAAAATCCACGAGAATTTGAGTCGGCCTAATTTTATGGGTTTTGGCTAGATTTTGGCAAATAAGCCCAAAATGAAATTTTTGTATTAATAATTATAGCGCAATTTATATAAATTTAACAAAATGAACGTCATTTGTAGCCACATGTACTCGGTGGGGGCCAATATCAATTTCTATTTGGCGCACGGAGGGACGAACTTCGGCTTTTGGAACGGCGCGGAATATGGCGGACCGGTAGGTTACCTGGGAATAAAATTTTATTAATTTTATGTAAATCTTATTGATTTTTAGTTGGGTGTAAAACATATTTTTTTAAGGTGACAACCTCGTACAATTTTTCGGCGCCAATTGGAGAGGATGGGGATATTAGTAAGTTGTTTTATAACAATCAATAAAGGAAAAATTACTCTAGTTTATAGGTAATTAATATTCCATAAAAATATTTTTCGTACATGAATGAAAATGTTGAAACGTTCACTTGGAATCCAAAAATTGGCACTTTCTCCTGTACTAATTTAGACGAAACATATTTTCTTAATTCAAAGCTGATTTTTGGTTTTCGTTAGGTTTATGTTTTAATTATTTATAACTAAATAGAGAGGTGCTAAATTTTATTAAAAACTTTTTCTTTGTTGTTTCACAAAAATCTTACTAGGGAAGTGCAAACAAAAAATCCCGCAAACCGCTTAGCAAAAATATGGGTCTGATAGAGTCGGCGACGTGGATTGCGAAACTGCATTCAGAATCTGCAAAACGTTTAATACAAAAAAGTTATGGGCATTTTAAGTTTTGCAGCACTTTTTCCGCCCTCCCTTATGAGCCCCTCCCAAAAAGGGGTGTCCAGTCGAGTCGTGTAGTGGCTAACTAGCCTGCCTCTGGGGCGGATGGTCTCTGGTTCGACTCCCGGGTCATGCAAAATTTTTTGCTTTTTGGTCAAAGTCAACAACTTTAGACTTATTCAAAGTTTCGAAGTCCGAAATTTAGATTTTTGAACATTTTCTTCATTATTGACTGCGTGTAGGCTTACCTTACGAAAAAAACAGGTGAATTTTTTTGTGCCCTACCCGCAAAAGTACTTGCACTCCCGCCAGCACTTTGTAATCGGTTTCATGAATTTAAAAATTAAGAGAACGGCCTTTTCGACTTCGAAACTTTGAAAAAGTCTAAAGTTGTTGACTTTGACCAAAAAGCAAAAAATTTTGCATGACCCGGGAGTCGAACCAGAGACCCTCCGCCCCCGACGCAGGCTAGTTAGCCACTACACGACTCGACAGGTGGACACCCCTTTTTGGGAGGGGCTCATAAGCGAGGGCGGAAAAAGTGCTGCAAAACTTAAAATGCCCATAACTTTTTTGTATTAAGCGTTTTGCAAATTCTGATTGCAGTTTCGCAATCCACGTCGCCGACTCTATCAGACCCATATTTTTGCTAAGCGGTTTGCTGGATTTTTTATTTGCACTTCCCTAGTTAGCTGCACGAATAAGTTTAAAAAGATTCGCGATATATCTCAGTTTTATTGCCAAATCCGGGACAACCGGCAGTAAAAAGTTGGCTGCAACATGTTATTTTTATGACTATGCTGCCCTTTTAATTATTATTTTTTTTGGCTACAAAATTACATTGATATTATTTATATATTTTAAATATTTGAAGTTGAATTCCGCCATGCAATTGCCCTAAAAATGCTCTAAAATGCCTATTTAGCCCCGAAATATCTGGCGCTTCGCTCGTGGATCAAATCGCTCGAAGATTGGCGGCAGAAGCCGCAGGATGTGCCTAAAAATAATAAGTAAATCTTTTTACGAGAATTCGGGCGTTGGCAAGCTAGCAGAGGTACTTGAGGAATGGAGGAAAAGCCTTGGTACTGGCGAACTCGCAGAGATCTTTGGGGAATAAAGGGAAACCCAGGTGAGGGGGAACTAGCAGAGATCTTTTGGGAATCTCTAGATCCCCACCGACCGAGCAAACTAGCAGAGATTCTTAGAAAATTTCTGAAAATTCAGTGGGCCGGGCGAACGAGCAGAGATGCTTCGGGAAATTTTTCCAATCGGGTAGCCTAGCAAAAGTTTATAGCGGAACCAATGCATGTAGCGAAGTAGGTGTTTTTCCACAAAAATCTCTGCCAGCTCTCCACTTTCAACTGGTTTTGAAAGTGACGGTTTCACCCGCGGATTTCAGAAAATTCGCCGTCGGCAAGATAAAAGTGGAGCACGTGGGCAGTATATTGGATCTCGTCGAAAAAGGATGCCAAAATACCGACAAACCGTTGACTTTCGAGGAAATGGACCATTCGATGGGATTGCTGGGCTATGCTACGGTAATTTAATAATGAATTTAATACCTTTAATTTTTATTTTATTCGTTAATTTTATTTTAAGAAATTTATTTATTATTTAAATGTATTTAAAACATTATCAATGGCTTCAATTGTATTTAAGCTGATGCGTTCTGGATTTGTGCCTCAAGAATATCTTTAACTGGGGAGAGTTGTCAGAATTTAGTAATTATCATCGTATCGCTTATCACGCTTAAAAATCCAAACATTTTTTTCAAAAAATGTAATTTTTAGTGAATTGAAAAAATTAGTTTCATAAATTAATAATTTTTGTGCACACTGTGATATGGTAATATTAGCATCTTAAGCGTTAAAATCTTACTAGAATCCCGACTAGTCGCACTTTCAAAGTTCAAAAATTACTCGATGATATTTATTTTATTGTTTAATTACTATAATATAAGTTCTATAAATCTAACCAAGATATCTTTTTAGGTTTTTTGCTGCCTGCTTTAATATCAGCAAATTGAAATATAACGTGTATTGTTTAAATAGCATGTTTCAAAAAATAACCTATGCAAAAATTCGGTTGCCGTGTAATTCTATTTTTTCGATTCGATTAACAATTCTATTTTTTTTGCAGAAACTGACGCGTTGCGGGAAAAATTTGACGCTGGAGAGCTACAAGGACTGGGCGCACGTTTTTATGGATGGAAAACATCAGGTCAAGCATTTTCGAATTAAATTTTTCTCGTATTATTTGATAGTCACATTTAATATCAATTCCGACCATTTAATGTTTGCGTTTTTTTGGTCGCTTACTTATCTTTTTTAAATAGTATTTTTGGGTATTTATAAGCAAATAAAATGTTTCGCTTTTTTGCTTTTTTAGCGTTATTATTTTTGAAACATTAGTTTTCAATGTTGTTAATTTCTAACCAATTAAATTGATAATTAAAATCCAGCAATAATGACCAAACGAATAAGTTATCAATCAATGCTAGCGCTGTTCTCAACTGTCGGTCCAAGGGCCAACGTAATAGGAATCATTTTCGAAACCTGTTTTTTTTAATCGGGTTTTTCCAGGATACTCTCTACCGCCATTTCCCATCGAATCATACCGTAACCCTCGAGAAATGCCACGACCACTCGGAAGTGAATATTTTGATGGAAAATGAGGGAAGACTCACCTATGAGACCGAGAATGATTATAAGGTTAGTGGAGGGAACTGATGTTTCGACTATCGTCGGTAATTAAAGCCGGCAAGTTTTTTCATGTTCAAAAATGATGTTTCAACCTTTTTCTATAGCCAAGATTTGCAATTTTATTGTTTTTATTTTCATATTCAGAGCTAATTTTTCAATTTTTTTTTGGATTTTCGCTAAATTTTTCGGCATTTTCTATCTTTTAAGGGGTGAGAGTTTTTTAGCTTGGAGGCCCTTGGGACCCGATTTTGAATTGAATTACACGCAGAAGCAGAAAATATATTGCAGAGCGGTTTTTAATAATTGATTTTTCAAAAATTTTTACGAGCGCATCCTAAAGCAATATTAATTTTATTGGGAAATGATGACGAAAATAAACTTTATCGTGATTTCAAACGTCTAAAAATTGGTGGAAAACTCAGCTTGGCCACTAGCTACGTCCCGATACGTATCTACACGAAGATTAGCTGCCTAAACCCCCCGGGCGACCCCTAGAAAAAAGAAGCCACTTGAATTTTACGTTTTTCAGGATGAATGCATTGGCCAGAAAAATGTTCCGATTTATGCAGTGGTTTATGCGTGGGGTAGCGTTCAGTATTGTGCATTTGGCTTTGGATTGAGACTTCATTTTACTAATGATTTATTCACCGGTATGCTTCGGTAAAAAATCGGTGAGAAAAGTCGGATACGGCCGAGTTAGGCGAGGCAAAGGCTTTGATGACCAAATTGAAGCATGGTGAATGCATCGGGTCGAAGGGTCTTGCTGAAATTGTTTCTTTAACCTGAAAGCTCTCTCTCTCTCGCTCTCTCTCTCCCTCTCTCGGCTCTGTACCGATATAAGGGATTTCTGCCGATATAAGGGATCACCGCCGATATAAGGGATCAGGGCCTCGGACCGTCGATATAAGGGATCACTGCCGATAAAAGGGATCACCGCCGATATAAGGGATCACCGCCGATATAAGGGATCGGAAAAAAAACCCGAAAATGGCGGGTACCGATATAAGGGATCACGAAACCGGATTTCGGGCAAAATGTCGATATAAGGGATCACGAAACCCGATTTCGGCCAAAATGTCGATATAAGGGATCAGAAGAAGGATTTTGCGCGATATATTATTACGTTGATGTAAAGAGCTATTTATTTAGGTCGATTTCGAAAGAAATTACAGAGAAGTTGATAAAAACTAGGTTTTACGGAAGTATTATTCGATTTTTGGTAGACTGGTAGGACCCGGAAGGAAGCTGATTGGAACGCCGAAGAATTGATGGCAGAGGTCGTACTAAAGCAGATAGAGGTATGGGATCGAAATAGCTGCATCACCGAGTTAGTCCATCGGTTTAAATACCAGTCCAATAAGTCCTGGCAGAGGTTAACGCGGGAGTCGCAGAAAACTAAATAAGGTGGATGAGGGAAAAGGAAAGGCGGAGGCACCACGATCACAAACTGGCAAAGGCATCGGATTGAACAATACTTCCGTAAAACATTAGTTTTTATCAACTTCTCTGTAATTTCTTTCGAAATCGACCTAAATAAATAGCTCTTTACATCAACGTAATAATATATCGCGCAAAATCCTTCTTCTGATCCCTTATATCGACATTTTGGCCGAAATCGGGTTTCGTGATCCCTTATATCGACATTTTGCCCGAAATCCGGTTTCGTGATCCCTTATATCGGTACCCGCCATTTTCGGGTTTTTTTTTCCGATCCCTTATATCGGCGGTGATCCCTTATATCGGCAGCGATCCCTTATATCGGCAGTGATCCCTTATATCGGCGGTGATCCCTTATATCGGCAGAAATCCCTTATATCGGTACAGAGCCCCTCTCTCTTTCTCTCTATCACTCTCTCCCTCTCTCGCTCTCTCCCTCTCTCACCTAAGCATTGCAATCGCGGTACGGCTTGTTCAATCCAGGTGTTTCTGATATCGACGTCAGCCATTCCTACTGAAAGTTTTTAGTATAGGTAAATTTTCGCGAAAAATTAGAAAGTTTCAAAATATTCCGAGGGGCGGAAAACTGTTGCGATTGCAATAACGAGTTGAGTATTCATAAAATTCGATATATTAAGAAAAGTATTCGAAATTGGAGAAAGTTTGGTAGGAAGTTTTTTGGAAAGCTGTTACAAACCGACGACGAATTGGCGACGAATTTTTCAGTTTAAGAAACTTTTTTTTTGAAACATTATTTTGCGATAAGGTGGTCACTTTGTGAATCCAAAGAATCCAAGGGTTGCAGCCTGTGATGATACCTTTGGGAAAATACTTAATAAGTTGGGAAGCTGCGTTTGGACGACGGAAAGTGGCGGTTTTGCGCTGTTTTATTCAACCTCGCCCCCTCCCCTTTAGTACACCGGCGTTATCAGCTTTTGCCGCAACTCTACTGTCGCTGTTTAGCATTTGCTGACCCGAAAAATTTGGTAAGACTGGGTCCATGACCCGGGCGTGTGGATGCGTATCGTCGCGTAATGGGCGGAATTTTATAAGTTTATAGGCGTACTGTAGGAAATTTTTGATGGAATGCTTCATTTAAAGCAATCAAAAATAGCACTTCAAACCATCATATTCCTAAATAAATTTCGTTTTTCAGCGTTAAAATAATGTACAAAACGCGATTTTCAAGAAAATGCTGATCAATAGCAGTTTTGTGTAAAAATGTTCCAAAATTTTCCGGGATTACGGGTCCTAAATTTTATTCAATTTTTTTAAATTTTACTTGCTTTTGTCAGCCTGAAAACATCAATTTTATGTTTTTTATGTATTTTACCAATTTCGCCATATTCTAGCAGTTTTTAAGCACTAGAAACAGGAGGCATTTTAATATACGCGCTCGAAAAGATCTAATTTGAAATGCCAACAAAAATCGTTAAGGTAAAATTCAAAATAATTCGGATTAACAATTTTTTTTCGTTGGAAATTTAAGGTTTCAGACTTTTACGGTATCGCGCACACGAAAATAAAATTAATCACTCTTCACCCGAGTAGAAAACGCAATTTATATTTTTTTTTCTTTATCGATTTTAAGCGAATAGTAGACGGAGGGTTTCTAATTTTTTTACGGTCATTAAATCGAAATTTAAATTCAATCAAATAGCAAAGCGTTTTCAGAAAAAAATGTTTCGAAACTCGGTAAAAAAAGCATAATGCGGGTATTTACTGTTTTGCCTATTTACGGCAATAAAATTTGAAAAGCATGTTTCAAAGGTTAATAAAAAGCAGAAAAGTTTTAAATAGGTAATCCGATCAGGGCGCAGTCATAATTCAAAATTAAAAAACTTTTAAAATACGTTAAAAAGCTTAAAAATTAGAACTGTTTGATACAGAAACTTTCTACAAATTAAATTAAGTTATTAATTTAAATTAAACGATTTTTTAGGGAATCCTTGGCCCGGTACTGCTCGACGGTACTGAAGTACGAAACTGGACAACGTGCAGTATTCGAATTGGGAAAGGGCAGAAATGGGTCGATCGAACGCTTAAAAGAATGAAGAAATTGAGGGCTAAAGGCCAAAATAACGTAGGTTTTGGTATTTATAGTTAAGTTTGGTTAAAATACATGAAATGCTGTTTTTTTCAGAAAATCCTGGAAGGCGTTTACACGGGTGTGTTCTCGGTGAACGACCTCGACGTCGGCGATACATTTATCGATTTTTCGGGCTGGGGCAAGGGGTTTATTCTGATTAATGGCCATCATTTGGGAAGATATTGGAATGTCGGTCCGCAGGTTTGTATGAAACTTATTTTCTTAATTTTCGAAAGTTGATTGGAAGTTTATTTCTAAAGCAATTCTGAGCATTTTAAAGCGAAAAACATGTTCCATCTTAAAAGCAAGGTCTGAAAATAAAAAACGCTGGAATTATGGTAAACTTGGGATTCTGAATAAGTGGAAATAAATATATTAATCATGACAACTTCTTACAATACATTAAAATAAATCCATTAATTATAAATTTTTTCTGAAACACTTAAAAATTTAGTATTAAACTGGTCATTCTTTATTCTTTAACCTTCAAGTGCTAGACATATGAAAACTATTGGCTCGGTTTCACTTCCCAGTCCCTTTAAAAATCGATGTTTTCAGCGTACCCTCTACGTGCCATCCCCCTTTCTGCGCAAGGGCGCAAATCGTATCTTCATCGTCGAGCTGCTCTCCGATTATTACGGTAGTTTTAATTTTTGAACGCCGAAAGTTCCCACGCGTTGCTGACAACGTCCCTTTAAACTAAAATGTGGCATAAAAAATAAATAGTTTCCGGTCTGAAAACAAAATTTACTTGGACTTAAATCAAAAAATCATCTTCAAAAATCTTCAAACTTTTCAGAAATATTGAATTTTTAGTCGGAAATTGATTATTTTTGATTGAAACATCGATCTTTTTGTATTTTTTCGATTTTAAAGTTTTCTTTTTGATTAATAAATTTGTAAAGTTTTGCGCGTAGAATTAGCAAAAAAATGTTTTTAAAAACACTTCCTCGATTTCGATTAGAAAAATGCGAGAATCAATTTAAAGAGTTGAATCGTTCATGCCCCCCCCCCGCTAACGCGAAAGCTCCCGTTTTCATGAAAATTTGAAAAGTTTCAGATTGCAACGCGCCGCACAAATGCCAGATCTCATCTGTGGACCACCCAATATGGGAATACAAGAATGTCGTCGAGCTGAAGGATAAGTTTACCCCGAAAAAGCCTACCCGTCATTAGTGCATCAATTCTCTTGTTTCTTCCATTTGAATTGAATTTAATAAACATTATTTCTCTCAATAGAAACGGCGCGAACTAGGAGAAATCAAAAAACCGCGTAAACATTAAATTTTTAAGTCAGCGTAAATATTCGGTTTTTGGGATGGCCGACGTGCGAAAAAATAAATGTTTTAGGGATAATTGACAGGCGACATAACTTTGGGCTTTTATTACATGTTTTCTAGCGGGATGAATTTCAAAAAAAAGACGAAAAAAATTGGTTCTTTAGGATTTCCGGGGGGAAAGTATTTCCGGGGAAACCAAATTTTTTCCTGGTTTTCCCGGTTGACCTAGTAATCAAATATAAAGTGTTTTCACATTGTTTTCAGTAAATTTTAACTATATTTAAAGTAGAAAAACCTTTCAAAAAAGTTAGAAAAATGTTTGAAAAAGTCGAAAATTGGTCATTTTGGGTCTTTCCCCCCTGCTAATCCTAAAGGTTCTATAGGATTTTTCGACCTAAAATTCAATTTTTTAATTAAAATGTGGGTAGTTTTTATGCTCAGGAATAGTTAAAAACCATTTAGAAACGCATGCGCAATTTAGAAAAAAAATTTAGGCTTGGGCCGAAAAAATTTGGTTGAAACTGATTTTTTTAATAAAAACGGCGATTTTTGGACGGTGAGAACAGATCAGGGGCCGGGAAAAAGTTTTTTCGGAATTTCCGATATTTTTCGACATTTTTTATACCAATCGATCGAGCAACCAAAAAATATACTAATATGTAATCAATAGAATTTTCAGCTCGAAATAAATAAAAATAAACAGCCACAAATAGCAGGAAAACCGAGTACCGCACTCTCCGGTGACCGAAAAATGGAATTGTCGATTTTTTAGTTGACGGTTGCCTGATGTAGAGAAAAATAAATATACCATCACGAATAATCGATTATGTTTTAATGCTAGTTCGGAGCATGGGGCAGGCGTGAAACATATGTTTGAAGGCCTCTGCAGTCTTCCCGATTGGGTCTAGAAATCCAATTTTTATTGTTCTATCATTACTATAGTATTTACGATTTATTTCATATCATTTTGCTAAAATTGACGACTACATTTTGGTATGCTTTAAAGTTCTGTCGTTCACGGGGAGAAGAGGGTTCATTAAGAAGTACAGCCGTCGGAAATTCTATTTTTTTTGGTGAAGCCCTAAAAAAAAATTTCTAAAAATTCTGAAGTTGTTCTGGTGCAATAACGGGGGGCTAGGAGGCGACGAAAATTAAGTTTTACTCGCGCATTAATGTCCATTATCAAATGCGAATTTGAATCCCGGAAAAACAATGCTTTGCATCGAAATTACGCCCTAAATCACTGGAACGGGCTGAAATGCCCATTTTATACTTGTCAGCCACTCGGCGTTTCTTATTCTAGACTTGAAACAGATTATTCGTTCTCCTTCTTATTCTTATTCACCTAAATCGAGTCGATTACGCGAGGAAAAGTGATGGCGACAGCGGCGTCCCCTGGATCTCCCGAAGCTCCATCTCCTGAGGGGGGAAAGCCAAAGGGTACGGTAGCGTTATTTTCTGATTTTCTAAAAATATTAAACCAGATTATAGAAATCACAATGTTTCGAAAATATGCGAAAATTAGGCCGCAGCCGAATTAATAAAAGCTGCTTCGCTGGTTTTAATAGATGTTGCGGCTAAACTCCAGTTAACCCCCCCCCCCCAGCCGACACCCACCTACCGTATCTCGGTCCCTGTTCATCTACAGGTGTGTAAAGTATACCAAAATACTCGCCACAGCAAGACGAACATTTTGGTATACTTTACACACCTGTAGATGAACAGGGAGCCGAGATACAAAAGTTGGGTGCGGGCTGGGGCGGGGGGGGTTATCTGGAGTCTTACCGATGTTGCTTTGCCCGATATCTACAAGTCTTTTTCTGCGCCTCAAGTCCTAAAAACAAAGTGTTTTACAGGCGCTCCAATTCCGATGGTGGCTGCGGTGCAGAAGCTGCAACTTGGCGAGAAGGTGGCCGGCTGGGAGGTGGTGAAGAAGTTGGGCGAGGGCGGCTTCGGCGCCGTCTACAAGGTGCCAATTGTAGTTTGTAGTTCTTTATCATAAATTACATTCAATAATTTTGGCGTTTCTAGCTATTATTTATACCTCTTTCTCCATCAGGGCAAAAATTTCGGAAATTGTAAATTTTTTATGGACGTTTTATAACCAAAAATTGTGTAAAATGCTGTGTAAATTGTTTGTACTTTATTACATTACCGTAGAGAATCATTGGGAAGTTGGTTCCCTCGATAACTGCCCAGAGCTCTTTTTACATTTTCTAGAATCAAAAAGAAATAAAAAGCGAAAAATAATTGGGAATCATATGCTTTAATTAGGGGATTTTAATGCGGCTAAACTCCAGATAACCCCCCCCCCCAGCCGACCCCCACCTACCGTATCTCGGCTACCTGTTCATCTACAGGTGTGTAAAGTATACGAAAATACTCGCCACAGCAAGACGAACATTTTGGTATACTTTACACACCTGTAGATGAACAGGGAGCCGAGATACAAAAGTTGGGGGCCGGCTGGGGGGGGGGGGGTATCTGGAGTCTTACCTTTAATGCTTATTAATACAGCGTGCATTTTCAAATTATTTTAAGACATTTTTTGATGGTTTTTTCCCGGGAACTTTGAGTGACTTTATCAATTTTTCCCCGTTCCGTAACCTGGAGTTCCTTCGAGCTTTGCTTGCATACTCTGGCCGCCGCCTTAATCAAAAGCTGTAATTGAGGTGAAACATCCATCGGGTCGTGAGAGTGCGATGAAAATCGAGGCGTGCTCGGCGACGATTCGACCCATGAAGATGGAGGTGGTCGTCTTGCAGACCGTACGTCATTTCGTGTAGAATGGAAAATACAAAATCGCATTTTCGAAGAGGAACTGTAATCGAGATCAGAAATTGCAGGATTCTCAAATGGGGACGAGACAAATTTTTTGAAACACATGTGGTGTAAAAAATCGAAAACGCGGCATAAAATATGACATTTTCCCTAGAAAAGAATGTCATATTACGGGCAATTGCAAGGTAAAAAGAAAATGTGTTTTTGACAGATTGACAAATTCTAGATACGGGCCTAAATGATATTTTTTGAAACACGTCATTTAAAAAAATGTTAGGGACGTGGAGAAGGATAAAGTATAGAATTCTGAATTCAATTTTAGAAAAAGCTTGTCTCTTTTTAAAACATAGAAAGTCAGAAAAACTTAACTGGGGCTATAAAGTCCGAAAAATCGAAGCTAGGCTAGAAAAAAGGTTCGGGACCGTCGCGACGTAGCTTAAATAAATTAAATCAATTCCTGGCCCAAGCAGATTGACGAATTAAGAATAGCCCTCTGGGCCTGACGAAAAACAAATTTTTAAAAATTCGAATAAAGAATTCCTCAAATTCCTTCACTAGTTAGGTGAGCCAGTTAGATCACCGCAGAAAAGGGCACTAGGTTAGGACGGAAAAATAAAGTTATTCATATTCATGAAAAATATTAACGCATTTATTGAATGGTCTAATAAGAATGAGAAGTCAAAGAAAAGAATTGTAGGGAATCTTCTTTGCCTGCTAAGGGAGTTGAAACGAAACATGGTTTTTTTTCAAAAATAAATTTGCAGGCAAAAAAGGCGCGCGCGACCCACTTCTGCGAGCTGCTCGACGCCGGCAAATGGGACACGTTCAACTTTTTGGTGATGACGCTGGTCGGACCATCGCTCCATGTACGCGACTGTACAAATTACGGTTCATTCCGCCGCACTCCAATTGCTGCGCTTTCATTTATGCGCTCATGTTTGATTTTCATGGTGTAATCGGATTGTTTTCGGCACAATTTTTGAAAGCCAGAAAAGCGTTTAAATCTTGGCGATTACTACGTAGTATACATCTTCTGAATATTGAGAAGAAAATAGGCGGGATTTACAGTAAATTTTGAAACAGCCCGTGGGAAGAATAAAAACGAGGTTTTTTTCTAATTTACTTATTGTAAATTTTAAAACCCAATCGAGTGCTTTATTTTGTCTATGAATAATTTGGGTATTTTTGACCGCAAAAACGTGTCAGTATGGATGCTTTGAGGAAAAGAAAAATGGTACGTATCCATGAAACATTCAAAAACCTTTAACCAAATCTGTAAAACATTCATCGTTTTTGAACGCTTCCTGTATTTTTACAAAGCATAAATTCTTGTAAATGGAGGTTAATATAACCAATGGACAATATTTAAATTCCTTTAAAATAAAATTTATTCAGATTGTAATTATCAAAACAATAAACTGTAGAGGTTGGGACTTTTGAGAAACATTGTTTCGCAAAAACCTGAAAACAATTGGGTTTTCGAATTCTACTTTTTCTTGGCATCGCTTTAGAAAGGATTTGAGGCGGCGGCGCTTATGGGACTAGCAAAAAATATTTTTAAATATGACTGATCATTTTTGAAACATTTTTTCCGTAAAGTTCAAAATATTTATTGCGCGTCTGAAACCCTTCCGCACTCGAAAATGCTTAAAATTGTATGGCGAACTTCTTATTAGACGAGTCAATTTTTTAAAAGCAATTTGCACATGTCTGGAAACCTCTGCATTTCTGCTGCAGGACCTCCGAAAAGCCGCCGAAAGGCCGCCAAATGCTGTCGATGGGCTGTGCGATTTCGGTGTCGATCCAATGTCTCAAGGCCATCCAGCAAATGCACGGTTTCGAGTGGGTCTCGGCATGAAATTGCGCTAATTATTAATTCGGAATTTTGTAGAATTTTAAAACACTCATTTTTAAATGTG